CAGTATCATCAGCATCACCAGTGTCTTAAACAACACCAGCATCTCTAGCAACATCAGCATCACTAGCGTCCCTAGTAACACCAGTATCATCAGCATCACCTGTGTCTTAAACAACACCAGCATCTCTAGCAACATCAGTATAACTAGCGTCCCTAGTAACACCAGTATCATCAGCATCACCTGTGTCTTAAACAACACCAGCATCTCTAGCGATATCAGCATCACTAGCGTCCCTAGTAACACCAGTATCATCAGCATCACCTGTGACTTAAACAACACCAGCATCTCTAGCAACATCAGCTTCACTAGCGCCCCTAGTAACATCAGTATCATCAGCATCCCCAGAGTCTTAAACAACACCAGCATCTCTAGCATCACCAGCATCACTAGAGTCTCAAGCAGTATCATCAGCATCACCTGTGTCTTAAACAACACTAGCATCTCTAGCAACATCAGTATAACTAGCGTCCCTAGTAACACCAGTATCATCAGTGTCTCAAACAACGGATCACCAGTGTCTCAAACAACACCAGCATCTCTAGCAACATCAGATTCAATAGCGTCCCTAGTAACATCAGTATCATCAGCATCACCAGAGTCTTAAACAACACCAGCATCTCTAGCGTCCCTAATAACATCAGTATCATCAGCATCACCAGTGCCTTAAACAACACCAGCATCTCTAGCAACATCAGCTTCACTAGCGTCCCTAGCAACATCAGGATCATCAGCATCACCAGTGTCTTAAACCACACCAGCATCTCTAGCAACATCAGCATAACTAGCGTCCCTAGTAACATCAGCATCACCAGCATCACCAGGGTCTCAAACAACACCAGCATCTCTAGCATCACCAGCATCACTAGTCTCTAGCAACATCAGCATCACTATTGTCCCTAGTAACATCAGCATCACTAGCGTACATAGTAACATAAGCATCACTAGCGTCCCTAGTAACACCAGAATCATCAGTGTCTCAAACAACACCAGCGTCTCTAGCATCACCAGCATAACTAGAGTCTCTAGCAACATCAGCATCACTAGCGTCCCCAGTAACACCAGTATCATCAGCATCCCCTGTGTCTTAAACAACACCAGCATCTCTAGCGTCCCTACTAACATCAGTATCTTCAGCATCACCTGTGTCTTAAACAACACTAGCATCTCTAGCAACATCAGTATAACTAGCGTCCCTAGTAACACCAGTATCATCAGCATCACCTGTTTCTTAAACAACACCAGCATCTCTAGCAACATCAGCTTCACTAGCGCCCCTAGTAACATCAGTATCATCAGCATCCCCAGTGTCTTAAACAACATCAGCATCTCTAGCGTCCCTACCAACATCAGTATCATCAGCATCACCTGTGTCTTAAACAACACTAGCATCTCTAGCAACATCAGTATAACTAGCGTCCCTAGTAACACCAGTATCATCAGCATCACCAGTGTCTCAAACAACACCAGTATCATCAGCATCACCAGCATCACTAAAGTCTCTAGCAACATCAGCATCACTAGCGTCCCTAGTCACATCAGTATCATCAGCATCACCAGTGCCTTAAACAACACCAGCATCTCTAGCAACATCAGCATAACTAGCGTCCCTAGTAACATCAGCATCACCAGCATCACCAGGGTCTCAAACAACACCAGCATCTCTAGCAACATCAGTATAACTAGCGTCCCTAGTAACACCAGTATCATCAGCATCACCTGTTTCTTAAACAACACCAGCATCTCTAGCAACATCAGCATAACTAGCGTCCCTAGTAACATCAGCATCACCAGCATCACCAGGGTCTCAAACAACACCAGCATCTCTAGTAACATCAGCATCACTAGCGTCCCTAGTCACATCAGTATCATCAGCATCACCAGTGCCTTAAACAACACCAGCATCTCTAGCAACATCAGCTTCACTAGCGTCCCTAGCAACATCAGGATCATCAGCATCACCAGTGTCTTAAACAACACAAGCATCTCTAGCAACATCAGCATCACTAGCGTCCCTAGTAACACCAGTATCATCAGTGTCTCAAACAACACCAGCGTCTCTAGCATCACCAGCATCACTAGAGTCTCTAGCAACATCAGCATCACTAGCGTCCCTAGTAACATCAGCATCACTAGCGTCCCTAGTAACTAAGTATCATCAGCATCATCAGTGTCTTAAACAACACCAGCATCTCTAGCATCACCAGCATCACTAGAGTCTCAAGCATCACCAGCATCACCAGCTTCCCTAGTAACAGCAGCAGCCCAGGGCTAGCTATAGTCAATTTTACAATTATGAGACCGATAGATTCCTATGATGTATATTAAAGGATCACACTAGCCTTCTCATCTCATCCACAAGGTGGTTCTCACTGAGCCTTCAATTTTGCCATGACATATTTCAGGGGTGCAGAGAGTGAAAGGGAGGGTAACCCCTGGAGTATCGCGGATGAAAAATCCCAGTAGGGAAATTACTTCCTTCACACTTAAGAGTTCAAAAAGGAAAACAGAAATCAAGGTTAATTTTGCTGTTTTTATTTTCATACATATTCAAGTTCAGTTTCCATTGAAAGACAGATAAAACACAGACTAAAGACTCATCAGTGATTGTTGTAGTGGGCGTGGTCAACGTAACTCCATATATGGGCATTAAATCATTACATATCAAATACACTGTAGAAAACACTCTGTCTCTTTCATCTTGTCAACCAACAAATACTGTGTTACGTCCAACACCTCCATACAACTTGACCTCTTTCAGCGAATGACCTCAGTGGTCAAAAAAATGACCTCGTCTATCAACAGATAGGGTGCTACTTTCACCACACTCGCACTACAACTCAATCAGCACGTGTTTAAACATAGAATCATTAATGTGAATATACTAACAATTAGTATCAAAGTTTTCTCTTCACAATATTTACATCATAAAATTGTTTCTTGGTACAATGACAGGTAATATTCAACAGTTTTACATATTCACTGGTACACGTAGCCGATGGAAATCCATTACCCGTCTATTAAATGCAGATTGGAAACGAAACGACACCTCTAAAGCTAGCAACTGCCACGCACCCCACTAAACCCTATCTTGATTAAATTTTGTACTATGGTATCATTTTTAATGCGAATTTTAAGATTCCTTAATTTTTCAGACAAGTTTTGAAATTACGACCAGTAAAAAATCCAAAATAAATGTGAAAAGTATATTTTCAGTTTTTGAGCCCTTATCTGTCAAATTACCAGCAGTAGTATTGCCTGACAAATGTCTAAACACGTATTGAAATTATTGAATAGTTTTAAGTTAGGAAAAAAAATGTCCTCATACAATTTATTTTTATAGGAAAGGAACCTTCACAGATAGATTTTGTTAAAAGTAGAGGGTGTTGGAAAGCACATGCCAACCACTTAACTCATTCGCCCCTGAATACATATTTTAACTCTTCCAATTCAAAGGTTGGAATAGTTCATTATAAGAGATCAGGGGTGAATGAGTTCAGCATTCTCAGAAAAATAAGCTGATTTTTATCTATCATTGTCCAACTCTTTTATAAACATCAATTAACATCATATATATATACAGTTTTAGCACTAGTTTTGCTGGCAGGACTTGTACTGATTGACCATGAACCACTATAGTATTAACCACACAGGGAAAGATAACTCCGGCTCAAAGGTCAAGGTTCCAAGTCAACATATATAAACATTTCATTATAATATCACAGACCTATAGACTTTCTTACATGTACATCACTCTCATCTTTCTGTTAACTCCTCCTGTAAAAAAATCCACATTTTTTCTCCAAACCTGACCTTTCCCTGTCTAAGACCCCTTACATAATAAATTCCAACTCTTCTCTATACTAACTTCCACACTTTCAAGATTACCTTCTCCCTTCAAGATCAAAATGAATTTTTCACACAAAGTCCAATATTTACTTCCATTACTGGTCTTATCTTATTGAAACTTACAATACAAAGCAACATATTTCAAAATTCACATAATCTTTTAAAATGACAATTTACATAAAAAGCCATAACACTTCCACCCCTATTACATGTAGGACAAGGTCCAAATAGTAAAGGTTTGTACAAGACGTGCCATTACCAAGGGAAATCAACAATAAATATGACAAGAAAAGCTTTTCACAGGAGCCGAAGTAACATGAAGCATGCACAGTTCACTCCCCCTTTTCAATGCAGCCATGGCTAGCAGTTAAAACAGGTTTTTTTTATAAAAAGACTGCACAAATTTGAGATATTTGTTTTAGGACTGGCACTCGTCCCATAACCTAAAAGTACTATTGCTATATTACAGGAAAGGAAAAATGAGATTTGAACCCAGGACTTCCTTGTTCTTGACAAATGCTCTCAACAACTTTTGCTATACCTGGTCACTGCTATCGACGCGGGCAACTTTTGATACAGATAAGTATCAAATTACAAACATTCCGTTTATTTCAACAAATAAAAGCTTAAAAGTTCAAGGCTGAAGATGAAACAGCACAAAAAATATTTATATTTAACAAAGAATTCCCTTCCATAATCTGTAAACAACAACAGAAAAATAGAACAATGCATTGTACATAGAGTACAAACTTGTTACGCGTCTTACATGGATCAATGCAAGTCAAAACTTCAACAGTTATTGAAATGAAATAGCATGAACTCGCTATTTTAGCACGGAAACAAACACTAATGAAAAGTCCTTTGACAGTCATTGAAAGATACAAGAACAGGAAAAACTACAAACTTGTAACGCGTCTGACATGGATCAATGCAAGTCAAGACTTCAACAGATATTGAAATAAATAGCACAAACTCGCTATTTTAGCATGGAAAGAAATACTAGAGAAAATTTTCATTTTGAGGGCAAAAAAGATGTAAACAATTATTTAAAGTTGCAACAAAATCCAAACAAATAAAAACATCCAAACATGGTAGTACACAAAATATCGAACTGACTTGAGTAAATGTAACATATATCTGTACACACATCAATTTTATAAATAAAGAATACATTCTACATACCATTATCACATAACAATTATAATCATTAATTATATCATTTTGACTTGCCGAGTGGCAAAAAACACTAATAGTTGCTTGTAGCCTTGTTTTAACAGGTTCTTGTTTGAAAAACGGGCTTCTAACAACTGGCAAAAACTTATTTGTATTATAACTCTAGGGATAATCCTGGAGGGGGCGGGGCCATGGGGCCATTGACCCTTCATAAGTGAAACTGTCCCCCTCCACCTTCCAATCATCTTTTATTTTTACATAGAATGGCTCTTCTTAATTTTGATATTGACTAAAAAATGGCCCAATGCTCTCAAATTCCAGGGTTTTCCCTGTAACTCATTAATTTTCAAATGGATATTAATTCTCAATAATGTCTTAAAATCTACTGATGAAAAAGAGTTTCTTAGCTTCAATATGATTTGAAAACCCATATTCATATTAACTAGTAGTGCATGGGACCTATCAGAAATGTTATTGAATTCAACTTACAGCTAGACAGAAGCTTTGAACATGTAGCAAATTCATTTAATGTGCCAATTAAGTTAACAATTTTCATCATAAAATATAACTATGCTACTAAATTAACCATAATTATCACTGGCGTAATCATAAAATGTTATGTGTACGTATATAATCCAAAAGTATTTACACCAAACGATGGCCAGGAAACCCTTTTGCCACGTCCACAGACGCCATTCCAGATCACCAACAGACAAGCTCGTTACAGTAGCCAACTCGGTGCTGGTAACAAAAGTGTTTTACATCAATCTGTCTTTCAAAAATTATTGTAGCACACATAGTTATTCAGTTTGTTAATTGCATACCTAAGCAAAATAAATTGACACTGAGAATGTTTTGTCGGTGTCAGGATAGCATACCTCTAGTTAAAAACATTACAAGTTGAGACTTTTTGTCTGTCTCGGTATAGCATGTACCTCTTGATATTATAGAAAGCATTATATATTTAGTCCCATTATCCAACATAATAAATCACATCATACATTCTGATTTAATGTCCTTATTACAATTTTTCCAGGCCATTACTATGATATATATATAGGACATGTGAAGCTTAAGCCTTTTCCAATTTGATCCCCCGACAATTTCAACAAAAAGAAGTAACTTTTCCTTTAAGCCTTCTTCAATCTGATCCCCCGACAATTTCAAAAAAAAAAAGTAACTTTTCCTGACACTTCAACCCCTTTTTTGTCCTTTATTTACCAGTCTCTTTGACTGACTCCACACTTAACCCTTGCTTTACCCTAACCCTGAACCCTTTTAACTCCAACTCTGGCCCTTTGTACCCTAACCCTGAACCCTTTTAACCCCAACTGTCCCTTTGTACCCATCCCGTTTCCCTAGTGGCGTCTCTCCATCCAGTCATTGTCAGCCTCAGAAAGAAGTTCCTGTATGACCGCCTCAACGTTTTGGCCGTGTTTCTCCAGCAGTTTCTGGTTCATCTCCCGATTACAAAATCCCATCTCGATAAGTTTTGTCATTGGACAGTTCTCCTCTGTTTCCGATTTCTTGCTGTCTGGGGCCCACTTATCCTCAGGGGGTGTCCACTTGTCCTGCGGAGGCATCCAATCAGATGTTGGGGGCTTGTATTTTTCTTCCTGCGGTTTCCAAGCAGATTTTGGAGGGACATATGTGTTGCCTTGTTGACCAGTGGCTGTCTGTAAACAGTATGGTTGATAAATTAATAAAAACTTTCTTTATTTTGCAACGATTGTAAAATAAGTTATTGCAAATCACTCTAGTTGGCCCCGATGTTAGTGTGTTGGGGGTCTTAACATGTGAGTAAACCAGAGTACCTGGAGAATACCCACTTGACTTTTAAAGTTATACTCATTCACCCCTGAAGACACAGTTGAACATTTCCAATTCAAAGGTTGGGATAGTTCATTATGAAATGTCAGGGTTGAATGCCGAGTTAATTGAGGAATTAAACCTTGGTTGCCTAGGTGAAAGGTGGGGGCATTATCCCTGCACAATCCGACCAACCAGCAAGGTTGACATCTTTCATTATTGTTTGACAGTAGTCCAGTCAGTAGGGACAGCAATATAACTTTTTTTTTTTCATATACATATTTGACCAGCTGCCTGCAGGCAAATTTTGAAAAAAAATAGCAATATTAAAACCTTTATCGAACAATGTCATAAGGATTACAGTTTCAGTTTTATTTACAAAGTGCTGAATAGAACAACTAGCTACACAAAATATCCTTGGAGTCGAGGCATTCGCCAGGTTTAAGCAATTTAAATTCCATATCAAAAGATAAGAAGTGGAAAAATAAGAGGGGTCAGTTTCAGGGTTCAATGGCAACAAAGTCCCCCTGAGCTGTGGGCTTTTTACTTGTACACTCTTGACTTCACTTAGCAAATTCAAACAAAGTCATTTATCTCAGGAAGAAAATAACTTTCTGTAAAGAAATCTATTCCTTAGTTACTCCATTTGGTGATTTTTTTAAATTTTTGTTCCTACAAAACATTTTGTGTTTAAAAATATGAGACACAAATAAAAATAGTACTTCTTCTCTATCAGATAGGCATCAAATTACCAGCATTCTTATTCAGTATATTTTTGAAAACAATGAATGAAGCAAAAATAAAACATTAGGAATATTCCTTAACAGAATGGCAGAGATGGGAGACACCTGTTTTGATAGTAGGGTTTCTGAAAATGCCTCCCATACGAATAATTCTGGAACAGCCCTGTGAAATACGCACTATGATGTTCTCTACAGTAATTCATTGAAACATAACTGTACATACATCAGGTTGGTTTACAGTTGGAACTTTGTCCTTTTCCTCTTTGGGTTTCCAGGTTGATTGTGGTGGCTTGTATTTCTGCCCAGGCTGGCGTGTACCATTCTGTAAAACATTTCAAAAATTGGTTGAAAGATTAAGGGTTATGTTTATAAATATATTGTCTACACTGTTAGAATTACTTCCTTGCCCCAAAGAATATGTTCAGACGACGGAAAACAGATTCCTTGCAAAATACAGCTGCTTTTCAATACCTAAATATTTTACCTTTTTACCTTTAATCCCTTGGTAAGACTTAAATTACCGACCTCAGACCTATCTGGTACACCCTAGCCTGTTTAACCTTTAACCCCTTGGTAAGCCTTAAATTCCTGACCTCTGACCTACCAGGTACACCCTAGCCTGTTTGACCTTTAACCCCTAGGTAAGACCTATATTCCTGACCTCTGACCTACCTGGTACACCCTCATCTATTTGACCTTTAACCCCTTGGTTAAACCTATGTTCCTGACCTCTGACCTACCTGGTACACCCTCATCTATTTGACCTTTAACCCCTTGGTTAAACCTATGTTCCTGACCTCTGTCCTACCTGGTCTAGCCTGTTTGACCTTGAACCCCTTGGTAAGACCTATGTTTCTGACCTCTGACCTACCTGGTATGCTCGAGCCTGCCAGGTGTAAAAGACCTCCTTACAGGTTGTGTAAGCGTTGGACGCAGCCTTGTTTGCTGCCTTCACCGCTGTGGCCATCACCTGGTTCACAAACATGTCCGGTGGACTGTAAAAACAAATAAGACATTGATACACATTTAAACCATGTGATTACAGAAGGAAAAGCAACAACCCCCTGTTAACTTTTTGGTCTCAATTTGTCCCCTTTAACCAGACTCTTGATTCATATTGAATGTTCCATTGTAAGAAGTCAGAAATTATCACATCAAACCCTAAATCCAGTCAAATTATCAATTTATCAATTCCCTGCAAAAATGGCAGCCCTGCTTTCCGCATTACAGGGCTACCATTAATTTTTCAGATTGTGATCCCAAGTACCTTAACGTTTCATTCAAAAGATATTCATTTGAAACAATATTATCCTGGTTTCTTAAGCTTGTCTAAATCGTCCAGACACAAAACAATTGAGAATAATTAACTTAATTGTTTAAACATCGAAATATTTGTTATGTAACTGTTTTAACAAATCCTTCTCTGCCCTCAATAAAATTCATACACATCTCTGAAACAAAGACAATTTATATGAAAAAGTGATATTAACGTACACTCCATGTTGACCAGTTGAGTCGTGGTCAAATCTGTTCTCCGCGGTTGCTCCATTCTCTGACTGGTCATTAGTGGCCACTCCCCCATCAGCAGGATGGACATCCTCTATTGGCTCCTTCATGTTAGTTACCTCCCCTTCATCAGATTCCACTGAGCCACTACTTACACCTGACCCAGTGTGTGATGGCGCTTCGTCGTAAACCCCGGCTGCTCCTGCCGCTGATGAATAAACTGTCATAACAACAGTCTCCTCTGGGTCAGTTTTCTGTGGCATCTCAGCTGCAGTTGCAGCAACAACGGATGGCTCTGATGGTTCACGGTCTGGAGTTTCCTGTCATAATGAAGAGATATAATTGTACAATCAAATGAATACACATTCATACAAGTATATCCCAAATATAGAACAAACAGCCCTCTCTGCCTTAATAGCTCACTAGGTACTTCAAAATTTTCAAATTAAAACCTGCTAAGTATCAAATCAAAGGCGTACAAGAAATACAAGCTGCAGGAAGGACTTCATCTGTTTGGGTGGGCAAGATACCAGCGACATGCAAGTATATTTTTCATGCCCAGTAATTTGTTAACAGTAAACACAGGGATCTCAACTGTTTCCATGTCATGAGCAAGGGAGTTAGTCTTCAGGGGTGGGGGATGGGGGAAGCACCCACCCTCTTGATTATACAAAATTGAATCCCCTTTACCACATTTACCAAGGTAAATACAGACAGAAATGATCTAGAAGTTAGTATAAAAACGCTTTCTATCAAGCAGTATTTTTCTTTACCTCTTGACTGTTGACTTTCTCCTCTACAGGCTTTGGGTCAAGTGGCTGGGTGGACAAAGCTCCGGACGTGGTCAGCAAATCATCCACAGATGAGCCTGCAACAATAGTCAACAAATAAATTAAGCATCATGTTTATTCAAATGTACTTGTATAAACCATCACAAACAACCCACCGACTATACAGTAACATTACAGACACTAAACATAAGATTGAGATATATAAACCTTAGTTCTAATTGTAATGGGGACCTATACTTGGGGATCATTACGTAGATCCCCCAAACTGCCCCAGGCCTGGAGTGACAAAAGATACATTGGAAAGAATTTGCAATTCCATAATACACCTACATACTGAGTTGGTGACAAAGAGCCAGTCTGTAGGCATCACCTTGGTGTACTCCCATTTATGTGTCTATTTATCATAGGCCACTGCGCAAGCAGCCATTTGTTTCCGAGAAAAAGCCTGTCTCACAGAAGAAAAATATCAAGAAAAGTAATTGAACGAAACATAACTATGTGGTACACAACAAATTAAAAGCATCAACTTCCTTTGGGGAATTTTAGTACAATTAGCATCAGGATATTGACAGTAACTTTGTCACAATCCCTGAACCTATAGTAAACATTTACCTTATTTCTTCATAATAATTTAAACCTTTTGCAGAATACAGAAAGGCGATAGCTCCTACCTCTGGTTGTGATTGTATTATGGTTGTCATCAACTTCCTCGATTTCTACATCCTCTTCCTCATCCGCATCATCATCATCAGAGAAATCATCGATAATGGAACGCGAGATGACTGGTTTGCTGAAATCAAAGCATGCGGGCATCGGCACAATGAGGAAATCATCGTCCTCACTAAGGCTGGAGTCATCCTCGTCAGTGTAACTCTTCAATGACTCAATGTCAACATCATCTGTAATAAACACAAGAGAGAACATGATTCAAGATTTAAAACAAAACTGATGTTCAACTTAATTATTACACTTACACATTAAGCAGTATAATCCTCACCAGTGAATTTTTATTGTATATGTGGGACTCACTCACTTGAACTGTCTTAGTAATGGCATTCCTGAATATTTTCAAAAAGATCTTCAAGCCTGAAAAATTCTACAATGATTACTGCCTCACTTGGGTGGTACAGCATATAAACATTCTGTAACTAGGCTAAAGGTACACAAACACAAACCAATTGTAGAACATGTATCACAACCAGTTAGTCTTTTATGTGTGTCGTTTTAATGGCTAGTACATATACGGTACATACCCTGCCACCTTCATCAGACAAACAACCAGAGAAATGTACCCACAAAGGTGTAAAATATGTATCAGTTGACAAATATAAAATATGTATCAGTTGGCAATATAAAATCAAACATCAATTCACATACACTTTATAAGCATATGTATACTTAATGTTATACATGTACAAAATGACTATCAAATCAACAATTTGATTCGGCTATGCTTTGTTTACTACCTGGGCCTAGACGTGCAGATAGGCTGCAGTGGGCCAGTTTGGAACCAAGACGAAGGGACTCCACTCTATCACCTCTATGACCAGTACCATACTAGTCATTGAAATGACACACATTAACACTCAATGGTTGTGGTAATTAATGCTACTACGATTCATTCTCACCAACCTGTAGAAAAAGTTTACAAAAATAGACAACATACCAAGTTTAGGAGCATGCAGATTGTCCATGATGTCACGGACATATTGACCGGACAGGTGGTCATCTCTATCTAGATCCTCAGGCTCAGCATTGACCACCTCGACGCTGCTGCTGGTCGACAGGGCTTTGATGTCCTCGAGCTCAGGGGCTGGGGATTTGGGTGGGGTCACATCTATTAATAGAAGAAAAGTGAGAAATTGTTATATATATCCCTGCACTAGGACGCTTCCGCAAAGTTCCTACATCAGGAGTGTTGGATCACCAATGATATGTTATATATCATTGTTGCAACAACGTTCCCATTCTTTGAATCATATGTATAACCTTGGAATTAATATGTGACGTGTAACTTTAATAAGCAATATTTCTATGTTTGATCCAATAAAGTAACCAACCACTTCAATACCTCTGCAAACTGACGGGATCAAATCTATAAATAGGACATGGGGCCAGCTATATTAAAAGATCACAAGATCATAGGATCGAAATAGCAAAAATACCAAATACATCTCTTAATCAAAGATTAAAATACCAGAATCAAAATATGTTAGTTTTTTCCTCTCTTCATTTAAAGTTAAATTAATAGTGCTATATCCAACATGAATTGATTTTCTATTGCTGACTCACCAAGAGGTGTGTTGTTGGGTGTAGCGGTCTGAGAAACCTTGTGGCTCCCCCTGTTGGCCAGATTCAGCAGTTCAAAGGACATGAGGTCTTGTCCCGTCTCGCTGGTCACAGGCTGTTGACACTGATCCAGTTTCAGTTGAGCGACTGCTGCAGCAGCTGTACTTAAATCCTGCTCAAGTTTGACCTTGTCTCCATCCTTGACCTCGTCATCCTTGACCTCTTCATCTTTGACCTCTTCACCACTGACCTCTTCATACTCCTCTTTCAGGTCAACATCCTTTTTAGTGACAATCTCTTCCCGTACAGTGAGCAGTTCCTCAGTTTCCTTCCTCTCAGTGAAATGTTCAGCCTCTTCACATGATTTCTCCATCACCTGAAATCAGAAGGTTATTTTTTTTTTTTCAAATTTAGAACAAACATTTTATCAGTACTCACTACTGTTACAATATTCAATGACAAAGAAATGAACATTAAGATGTAAGATGAAGAAACAATGATGCTTGCGTGAATCAGCATGTCTAAATTAAACTCGGTATAATCTCAAAACGGTAATATATCTGACCTTCAATATTAATTTCCACTGTAAAAATTTCGTTCTTAACAAAGCCTGCATAATCTAGCAAGCAACTTGACCATTAATACTGCAAATCCATGTATTGCTCTGTTAAGACATAATTGACTGATACAAATTTTAAAAACTTTTCTTTACATGTTTTGAACTGTTACAATTTAAATAGGACTTCTTGGCTAAAACATAACTGTATATATATATCCTTTAATCATATCTTCTAATACTTAGGAAGTAGTAAAACATGTCACTTTGTTTTTTGGGATACATATTTGTACAATCTTGCAATAAGCTGACTCACTGGAAGTTGGTTGTTAGAAAAACAAAACATATATATCAGTTGTTTCATGACATATTCACTAATATAAGTAATTATTTTTGGATATGTAATGCCCTTGAAGGATTCCCACAAAAAATCTATATTTTTCCCCTTTCCCAAAGTTTGTGCGGCAAAAATGCTGCACATATAAATGGTCATGTATCATCGACTCTTAGTACGCAGTGCCACACAAATGTAGGTCAAGGAAAAGCAAACTCGAAGCAATTTTGTCTATTTCAACAATATGACCTTACCTGTTCTTCAGGTGCAGCCTCATTCTGAACAGTGTCGTGATCATATACCAACTTCAACGGGCCATCCTGTGTTGGTTCCAGAACCTCTCGTGGTACCACAGTGATCAGGCACCACACACGGTGACCGAACTGTTTTCCAGACTGGGTCATCTTCCAGTGGCTCTGATACTTGCCTGTAAATCAGTACAAAACACTGTAATCACTACATCTTTTAAAGCCTTATTCTCATTAATTTTTTTTATCTTAAAATTCAAGGAAATGATGTGTAACTGTTAAACCAAACCTTGGATATAACTTTTAGCTCTTTTGTTTCAAAGGAAAACTATTGGGGCTGGGCAACGCAAAAGGATGAAACAAGTTGTCTGTCTTTATCACACTACATGTATTGTGATACAGAACTTGACATTAAATGCTGTTATTGTACTTATTTTAACAGTTATCACATGTAAACATTGTTTTCACTAATTAGATATTGCTCCATCATAAATAACTGCTACATATGAAATCACTGAATTTCTGTTTTAGATAGATTCACACAGGAATTAGAGAATTCATTTTTGCACTTATTTCAAAATGCTTAATCATGAATAAATAACTGCTACATACAAAATCAAGTTCCTGTTACAGATAGAGTTGTATATATAGCTTATAACCATATCCGATTTCCGATGTCATGTCATTTCACCCTTGTGACAAAACGCATGAGACAAAAAATGTCCTTCCCCTACTCCTTGCCTTTGATCGTTCTATCATACACTCCGGAATCAGAGAAAACAGTGTATCGCCAAGACCTAGACATCAACTGATCATGAAGTGCTAAACACGTTCGTGAATACACCCATATACATATGGGTGCCTCGGTAGCCGTGATCACCAACGCGCACAGTCATTGTACTACTGTGTGCTATCAAGCGTGAACGTCAGACCACTCGTTCTCCCAAGAATTTCGGTTCGATTCCCAGCGGTGGTGGAAAAAAGAGAGTGATGTTTGATAGGGTTAGTTGTTATCCCTCCGATGGTACGGTGGTTTTCCCCCCGTGGGTTTTCCTCCACCACGAAAACACCATTTGTTCCCTTAGCGGCGTCGTAATAAAAGCTCCACAGAGCTTATGTTTGTTGTTGACAATTGTACACGACGTTAAATAAAGATTATTATATTATTATTTACTATCATATGTGCACATATAGCATTTCTCTTATCTGCGACATCATAAAAATACATAATTATGTGCGGTTTTACTCATTTATAATTACACGGTATAATCATATTAACGTACCTGGCCTCTCTGGTGCAGTGAGTTGAACAGAGATGTCAGCTTCGTCTCCTGGGGACAGTGGCAAAATATCCATATCCTGATGTCTGTTGAGGGATGGGAAAGATCCGTATACCAGGTGGAGCTGTAATTAAACGGAACTGTTGTAATAGTAAAAAATAACTTAATAAACTAATATTCCTCATAACCAAGTACAGAAACCCTTCTCCTGACAGAAATAACAGAACGAACAGCTGTGTCACCAGCTTCAAATAAATCTGAATACAGCATTATATTTTTCAAACATTTAATTTTAAAATTAGCATGCCTGTCAGAGCCGTAAAAAAAATCCACAAAAACCATTTGGAACATTTCCCGATCATAGACCAGAAAGAAAACATCATTTAAGTAAGAACTTGCAAAGAACCACCAGAGAATACTGTATATATAGGAAATTGTTTGGCTGCATATTATTTTTGGCCTTTTTGGTTCTCTGTATTGAGGGCGAACTTATCATTACAATGAATATAAGTAAACAGCATAATAAACATAGCAATAAACTTGTGCAAAATCAAAACTGGGTAAATATGGATTTTACTTGCGATGGGCGAAAGTTTGACAGGGCAAAAACGTCCCATTATACAGTATTGTCTTTCTTTATAAGACTTGATAAAAGACTGTATCACAGTAGGATTACAACTACAGGAAAATTAATCGTAATAACTCATGCCAGGTATTTCTTACCTAGTGTTCATCATCAGATATCTATTTACATTAAGTCACATCTGGTTACTTTTGACCAACCTCAGTGCCTCAACATATCTAGCTGTTTTTACCCCAATTTTTGTGCACCTTTAAGCCAACTTTTTGCCTTACCATATCAAAGTCACTTTAGACCGACCTTTGTGCTTTACCATACCAGGTCACTTTAGACCAACCTTTGTGCCTTACCATATCTGGTCACTTTAGACCAACATTTCCACTTAACCATATCTGGTCACTTTAGACCAACTTTTGTGCTTTACCATATCTGGTCACTTTAGACCAACCTTTGTTCTTTACCATATCTGGTCACTTTAGATTAACCTTCGCACCTTAACATATCTGGTCACTTTACACCAACATTTGTGCTTTACCATATCTGGTCACTTTAGACCAATCTTTGTTCTTTACCATATCTGGTCACTTTACACCAACATTAGTGCTTTACCATATCTGGTCACTTTACACCAACATTTGTGCTTTACCATATCTGGTCACTTTAGATCAACCTTTGTGCTTAACCATATCTGGTCACTTTAGACCAACCTTTGTGCTTAACCATATTCGGTTGGTACCAACCTTTGTGCGTTCATTCCAGGTATGACTTCCAGTATTCTTCATCCGCCAGGTTTTGAGGAGTTTGGTTCCGGGCTGGACATTAGTACCGTCCGGGATGGTCACGTCATACAGGAACGAGGCATCATAACCAACATTTCTACAACATATGTGAACAATACAGGTCAGTTTAAGAGAATTAAGGAATCAATCTGGAAATAATTATTTTTTAAACATTAAAGCCCTTAGTTCTCCTACAAAAATTCTTCATTGACATCAGGTGACTCTCTTAACACTTGTATTAATTTGAGTTTTTCGTTGGATAGCTTTCTTCAATTTTCACCTTGAGTTCTGGTCACTGCTGAACAGAACGCATACAAAAGGCATATCAGCATTTTGAAGTGAATTTCTTTTTTCATTTATTGTTCTTTTGATCAAAGTATTTGGAATTTTTTTTTTCATAAATTTGGTAAAAACAAATCTGATTGGGAACATGGCCGAATTACTTCAAAATGTATAATATCATCTAGACAATGTATGTATGAAGAAGGGTGATTCAGAGGAGATCAGGCAGTAGTATTACCCTCCTCAGATAATATTACTGTATAGGAAAATGTATAAATATCATATAGACAATGTATGTACGAAGCAGGGCGATTCAGAGGAGATCAGGCAGTAGTATTACCCTCCTCAGATAATATTACTGTATAGGAAAATGTATAAATATCATATAGACAATGTATGTACGAAGCAGGGCGATTCAGAGGAGATCAGGCAGTAGTATTACCCTCCTCAGATAATATTACTGTATAGGAAAATGTATAAATATCATATAGACAATGTATGTACGAAGCAGGGCGATTCAGAGGAGATCAGGCAGTAGTATTACCCTCCTCAGATAATATTACTGTATAGGAAAATGTATAAATATCATATAGACAATGTATGTACGAAGCAGGGCGATTCAGAGGAGATCAGGCAGTAGTATTACCCTCCTCAGATAATATTACTGTATAGGAAAATGTATAAATATCATATAGACAATGTATGTACGAAGCAGGGCGATTCAGAGGAGATCAGGCAGTAGTATTACCCTCCTCAGATAATATTACTGTATAGGAAAATGTATAAATATCATATAGACAATGTATGTACGAAGCAGGGCGATTCAGAGGAGATCAGGCAGTAGTATTACCCTCCTCAGATAATATTACTGTATAGGAAAATGTATAAATATCATATAGACAATGTATGTACGAAGCAGGGCGATTCAGAGGAGATCAGGCAGTAGTATTACCCTCCTCAGATAATATTACTGTATAGGAAAATGTATAAATATCATATAGACAATGTATGTACGAAGCAGGGCGATTCAGAGGAGATCAGGCAGTAGTATTACCCTCCTCAGATAATATTACTGTATAGGAAAATGTATAAATATCATATAGACAATGTATGTACGAAGCAGGGCGATTCAGAGGAGATCAGGCAGTAGTATTACCCTCCTCAGATAATATTACTGTATAGGAAAATGTATAAATATCATATAGACAATGTATGTACGAAGCAGGGCGATTCAGAGGAGATCAGGCAGTAGTATTACCCTCCTCAGATAATATTACTGTATAGGAAAATGTATAAATATCATATAGACAATGTATGTACGAAGCAGGGCGATTCAGAGGAGATCAGGCAGTAGTATTACCCTCCTCAGATAATATTACTGTATAGGAAAATGTATAAATATCATATAGACAATGTATGTACGAAGCAGGGCGATTCAGAGGAGATCAGGCAGTAGTATTACCCTCCTCAGATAATATTACTGTATAGGAAAATGTATAAATATCATATAGACAATGTATGTACGAAGCAGGGCGATTCAGAGGAGATCAGGCAGTAGTATTACCCTCCTCAGATAATATTACTGTATAGGAAAATGTATAAATATCATATAGACAATGTATGTACGAAGCAGGGCGATTCAGAGGAGATCAGGCAGTAGTATTACCCTCCTCAGATAATATTACTGTATAGGAAAATGTATAAATATCATATAGACAATGTATGTACGAAGCAGGGCGATTCAGAGGAGATCAGGCAGTAGTATTACCCTCCTCAGATAATATTACTGTATAGGAAAATGTATAAATATCATATAGACAATGTATGTACGAAGCAGGGCGATTCAGAGGAGATCAGGCAGTAGTATTACCCTCCTCAGATAATATTACTGTATAGGAAAATGTATAAATATCATATAGACAATGTATGTACGAAGCAGGGCGATTCAGAGGAGATCAGGCAGTAGTATTACCCTCCTCAGATAATATTACTGTATAGGAAAATGTATAAATATCATATAGACAATGTATGTACGAAGCAGGGCGATTCAGAGGAGATCAGGCAGTAGTATTACCCTCCTCAGATAATATTACTGTATAGGAAAATGTATAAATATCATATAGACAATGTATGTACGAAGCAGGGCGATTCAGAGGAGATCAGGCAGTAGTATTACCCTCCTCAGATAATATTACTGTATAGGAAAATGTATAAATATCATATAGACAATGTATGTACGAAGCAGGGCGATTCAGAGGAGATCAGGCAGTAGTATTACCCTCCTCAGATAATATTACTGTATAGGAAAATGTATAAATATCATATAGACAATGTATGTACGAAGCAGGGCGATTCAGAGGAGATCAGGCAGTAGTATTACCCTCCTCAGATAATATTACTGTATAGGAAAATGTATAAATATCATATAGACAATGTATGTACGAAGCAGGGCGATTCAGAGGAGATCAGGCAGTAGTATTACCCTCCTCAGATAATATTACTGTATAGGAAAATGTATAAATATCATATAGACAATGTATGTACGAAGCAGGGCGATTCAGAGGAGATCAGGCAGTAGTATTACCCTCCTCAGATAATATTACTGTATAGGAAAATGTATAAATATCATATAGACAATGTATGTACGAAGCAGGGCGATTCAGAGGAGATCAGGCAGTAGTATTACCCTCCTCAGATAATATTACTGTATAGGAAAATGTATAAATATCATATAGACAATGTATGTACGAAGCAGGGCGATTCAGAGGAGATCAGGCAGTAGTATTACCCTCCTCAGATAATATTACTGTATAGGAAAATGTATAAATATCATATAGACAATGTATGTACGAAGCAGGGCGATTCAGAGGAGATCAGGCAGTAGTATTACCCTCCTCAGATAATATTACTGTATAGGAAAATGTATAAATATCATATAGACAATGTATGTACGAAGCAGGGCGATTCAGAGGAGATCAGGCAGTAGTATTACCCTCCTCAGATAATATTACTGTATAGGAAAATGTATAAATATCATATAGACAATGTATGTACGAAGCAGGGCGATTCAGAGGAGATCAGGCAGTAGTATTACCCTCCTCAGATAATATTACTGTATAGGAAAATGTATAAATATCATATAGACAATGTATGTACGAAGCAGGGCGATTCAGAGGAGATCAGGCAGTAGTATTACCCTCCTCAGATAATATTACTGTATAGGAAAATGTATAAATATCATATAGACAATGTATGTACGAAGCAGGGCGATTCAGAGGAGATCAGGCAGTAGTATTACCCTCCTCAGATAATATTACTGTATAGGAAAATGTATAAATATCATATAGACAATGTATGTACGAAGCAGGGCGATTCAGAGGAGATCAGGCAGTAGTATTACCCTCCTCAGATAATATTACTGTATAGGAAAATGTATAAATATCATATAGACAATGTATGTACGAAGCAGGGCGATTCAGAGGAGATCAGGCAGTAGTATTACCCTCCTCAGATAATATTACTGTATAGGAAAATGTATAAATATCATATAGACAATGTATGTACGAAGCAGGGCGATTCAGAGGAGATCAGGCAGTAGTATTACCCTCCTCAGATAATATTACTGTATAGGAAAATGTATAAATATCATATAGACAATGTATGTACGAAGCAGGGCGATTCAGAGGAGATCAGGCAGTAGTATTACCCTCCTCAGATAATATTACTGTATAGGAAAATGTATAAATATCATATAGACAATGTATGTACGAAGCAGGGCGATTCAGAGGAGATCAGGCAGTAGTATTACCCTCCTCAGATAATATTACTGTATAGGAAAATGTATAAATATCATATAGACAATGTATGTACGAAGCAGGGCGCTTCAGAGGAGATCAGGCAGTAGTATTACCCTCCTCAGATGATATTACTGTATAGAAAAAATTTGCAGAGCTATATAACAGTAAGAATACCTGACCTAAAGAGCTAAATTTGCGCTTTCCAAAAACACTCATGTTGGAATGCTAGGGCTGATGACAATGCTCTAGGTAATCTCACTCATTTTTTGTTTATTCACCAGCAAGATTTTGCCTAACACTTGAGTTGATGTTTTAAAATACCCAATTACTAATGTCAAATTAGGCTAGAAAGAAATGTTTTTTGAGAATGATTAGATAAAATGACATCATTATGTTCATTTGCATCTGAAATCGTAGATAAATCTGACAAAAACCTGGACATACCTCTTGAAGGGCAGTTCCAGCCGTTCACGCTTCAGTGGCTCGTCACGCTGTGTGTCCAGTCTTCGTTTGAGAAGTTCTTCCTTCCTGCGCTGTTTGTGTAGTAGTTTTTCTTCTTTTCTCCTCAGCCTTTCCTGTTTGCGAGCCGTTTTCTCCTGTATCCTATGAAAATAAAACTTTGATATTAGCAAAAACCTAACATACATCCTTAAATTGCAGATCCATTATTTAAAGTAGTTTTTGTGATCGAAGTCCCAAAATGAAATTACAAATTTTAAAGTTCTTACTTCTCAAACTTAGACTGAAGAAATTGTGTCATGCAATCCTGATTGACTTGTTCCTGTGGAAGTGCCTCAGGAATTGCTTCGTCGCGAGGAGTTCCCTCCCTTTGGGGGTACAAAGAGGTCTTGAAGAGTGGAGATAAACGGCGTAATTTGGTGGTTGGTTTGCGGAGTTTCAGGAATACATGGTCTGAATCATGAACTCCGTTAACAGCCTCGCACTCTTCACAAAGATCGTAGTCGACACAATAACTGAAAAAACATGTAAATATAGAACATTTGTAAAGTTCATATTGTTTGCATTAAGATAATTTACTGTAAAATCATTAACTTAACTGTACATAGCATTAAATCAGGAAATTGGTTGTCAGAGATGTTCATCATTGTATAATTACATTTACAAAACTGTGAAAAAGATATTTTCTTCGTTTATTCATATCTATTGTTCTATATTTGTTTACAATAATTTCAACTGCACAAAAACTCGTCCAACCACTATGGCTTCAATGATTTCAGATTCACCAGAAATTGCCACCACAATTTTGAACCAGAAAGGCCAGTTAATTTCTGTAGAATTATCCACCGTGCTGGACTGTCAGATATATAGTATTTGATATCACTTCAAAATTCACGATCCATCATTACTATTTCTCAATTGATTGATGATAAGTCATTGATCAATCACAAAATGAAACAAAAAAATAAAATCACCAAAATGAGTAAACTGTACAGGTGTTGGATACTTCTGAACAAGTTGAAGGCAGAAATGTTGTTTATGGTAAAACTTATGAAGAAAAGTGCTTGTTAAATCAGTTCTGAGGTCTGCTCTGAATTTCAATAACTGTTGAAACTTAACATGTTGTAGTCAATCCATGATTGATCATGAGTCACAGGAACAAGGACCAATCATCAATTAATTTTACGAAATGGAATGACACTACAGATCTGTCTGGAAAAAAAATTGCATTTTGAGTCTGGCAATGTTTGTAAAATTGTCAGCCCACCAACTGGTGCAATTATTATTACCAGCACTGAATATGCTGATCCAGAAAAGTGTTTCAACCAAATAGATTCTGCAGTAAATTAAACACTTCTGGCACCTTCGTGTTAAAATTTTAACTGATCCCCCCTAAAAATATAGCAAAAATCAATTCCGACACATATTTGCCCGATAAGACAAGGGTACTGAATCATAAGGAGCACCTGCAGTGACAGTCTAAATGGCTGTGATACTATACTCCATGCGGTATTTCTGATGTAACGAATTGAGACTTCACATTTACGGTTTTGTTAAAAAATTCAGACTGTACTTACCAGCACTTGTATCGGACCCCAACTATGACTCTTTCGCAGAAGTTACAAATGATACCCTCATGGTAATATATGGCTGCAAGGAAACCAAAAAGGACATTTTAAACAACGTTCTCATGGTTCCATCATCAAGGTTTGTTTCAGCAGAAATTATGCAAGAGACACTGGGAATATCATACTGTTAAATGTGTATATAGTAAACTAATCAAGAGCAGACATACTACTGCTTCATATTTAACTTGTAAGGTGACCATTCGATTGTCCGGAACCTTTCATTTAATTATTATTTAAATACATAATACATGTAGATCTCTTAAGAATAGGTTTATAAATTCATGAAGAGAAAATGACTGAGTCTGGAGAAGAAGATTTTTGAAATATTTGTTAATTTTCCCTTTGGGGCCCCGCTGAAGTTACCGAATTCATCATTGAAATTTCCACTTAATAGATCTATCTGTTTTGCAATATTTTTTCGATGAATTGAAGCAAAAAATTGTTTAACATTTGAATAATTTGCTAGAATCCAAATTTCAAAGTTCATTCAAATTCCTGTTATATACTGCATACCGGAAACTTTCGCCCTAAGGTGGTAAAATCTGTATTCACCCAGTGTTAATTCTGCCATTCACATTTGATCGCTATGTTTAACATGTTCTTTACTAACGTTCACTCTTATGATAAATTCACCATCATTACGGAAGGTGAAAAATGCGAAGGTAAAACTGTAATGAAAATTTCCCGGTATTCAGTTTAGCATTTTAATTTAGTGTCACTGATACAGAAAAAGGAACAGATCTTAGCCCTTATCTAGAAAAATAACATATTTCAAAATTCGATTCATAGGGAAAAGTAAATTATCATAACAAACAATGATGACTCACGATGGCTTGAAGGAGTTTCTGTTTTGGGAGTAGCCTCCCCTTGTCCACCTGTTGGTGACGTCACAGCTGGGTCAACCTCACTGGTTCCCTTTACTGACTGGATGACAGCGCCATCTAGCCCCTTTAGGACATGACGAACAGTCTTCTTTGTGACGTCTTTCACAATCTCAGTTCTCAGCTCCATCTTCAGCTGAATAGAAAGTAAGCATAAATATATAGTTTGTTCAGAAAAAATAATGCAAAGAAATGACCTTAAGTACTAACGGATAGAAACAAACTTTCTTTGAAAACATTCCACTATTGCACTTTTTATGGGGAATTATTGCACAGGAACCAAAAAACTAATTAGAAGTTGGAGGCCTCATTTTAACTAAGTAGGCATAAATATACAAACATACTTTTATGCCATTTATTGAATGGAAACCAAGTGTAACGGACAAATAAGTGCATCTAAATGTATACCCGCTCCTTTCGGGGAAAACGAGATAAAAAAGAAACAGGCTAAAACAGGAAACATCAATATCAGTCACAATACATTTCACTTAATATCATGTCACTTAATGTCACTTTTCTGTTATTGTAATGTTTTCCTCTCACGAATGAGAATTGATATCAAGTGAAATCTACTGTACAACATAATTTGGTTTTAGATACGAACCTGTTGCATGAACTTGACAAAGACTGAATATGGCATTGCAACTTCGTCCGACTCTCCTGACTCAAGATCGAGGGCCAACTTCTTGGGTTTTGCACCGCGGTCAGCACTCTGGGTCTGTCTGCGAGATTCCTTCACCAGCTTTCTTGTTTTCACCTTCTTCTCAAGCTATAAACAATGATTATTGTAATGTTTTGATCAACTCAATATCGATGTTAATGGAAGACTAACAGATAAGGAGTTTTGGTTTGTTTGTGTTTTACGTCCTATTAACTCTTTCCGTACCGCAACTCCGGTCCGGATTCCGTATTTACTTACCGATGTACTTATTAGACTCGCCCCCGCACATATAACAAAATGGCGGATTGTAAAGGTACTTTTTAGACTAGGTGTAACTGCCGCAAGATTTAAACAGGTAACCGTGAACAAATATTGTTATTGTTTCATGTTCTGGTTCATAGACAAACACTTATTCATTTTCGCAGCATAATGACTAACTGGCAGCTGATTATGACTGAGAAATCGACATTTGTCTGGCAATAAACGATACGATTCCTTGTATTTAACACAGCGTTTTAGTGCAGGTTTCCAATAGGGATTGATTATGGTTACGAATGTGGAGTCGTTGAGTTTTTTTCTAAAAACAAGTAGATTTCATCAAGACTTATATTAGAATATTCAAATTTACTTCCATAAGTCTCAACAAATATCTGATGATGAATTTATGAGTGTTCGTATCAAAATAAGTTGCCGCCATCTTGTTTACATTTGAGGCACCAAACGCAAACATCTTGCGGCAAATGCGAGAACATTAAGTTACATAATAAAAAGTGTACTCTGCACAAATAAAATTATTTCTTCTAAACAGATGGGTTCTGATTTTAGCGACACTTAATTATTTTTTCGCGACAGTTTCGTGCGATAACCAACTAAACATCAGACAGGTTACATCAAAGTCTCTTGTCGTGTGTACACGACAACGGGGATGAGACGGCCCTTTATTTTGTCGTCTGTACACGACAACGGGGACCAGGATGACATATTGTTGTCGTGCGTACACGACAACGGTACGGAAAGAGTTAATAGATAGCTATGATCATTTAAGGACATGCCAGTTTTGGTGGTGGAGGAAAGCCCGAGTTCCCCAAGAAAAATCACCGACCTACGACCAGTACCTGGCGACTGCCCCATGAAGGCCTCCAGCTCGAACCCGCAACCCAGTGGTGGAGGGATTGTGGTAGCAGCATGTCAGACGCCTTAACCACTTGGCCAACAGGGCCCCACAAACAAATAAGGTTATTGAGATGTTTTGAACAAATTTGTACATTACTTATATACATTCGTTTTAATTTGATCGTTGATCATGTACTCTCGGAAATTAAAGTTTATATTGCTGGTTTCATATTGTGACTATAACTCTTAATTATTGATTTATTGGTAATTTCTACATACCACAAAGCAAAGATTTTTAACATTTGTAATACTAGTTAATCTTTAGGTAACAATGCTGTCTAATTCCTCGAGACCTGTATATCCCGTCTAAAGTGTTCTACAAATGGAGTTTTTGTTATCTCTATGTTGAATGGTGAAATGGACTTCATTGACAAAATTGTAAACATTTGTAATTTTAGTCCGCTTTCATTTATCGTGATCCGAACAGTTTAGTCGGTTGGACCAGAGTTGTTTATTTATTAAATAAGGTCGGACCTAGTTCTCTGTTGCTGTTTTCAAACGAGCCTTGACAAATCCTTGCAAGGCCTGCATAAACATTTGCAGGTCCGCCAGGATTTATACCAGAAAATGATACATTTAAAAATAAACAAACCTGCTGTTCTGCATAAACGGACAGGCCCTTAGTAAACTAGACTGAATGCATTGGAAGAACTCCATAGAAGGGCGAAAACACAAACCCACTCATCACCTTTACATGTACAACATGCAAGGTTGCACTTCAATCTTCACAAGAGTCTTAAAAGAGATGGGTTTTTTTCATTTCAGATGTTTTAGGTGGTTTTATTTTTTGTCACATGATTTAAATTTGAGACAAAAATTCATTACACATTTTTACCACAGAAGATTGAAGTTTTTAAAAAAGAATACATTCTGATACTAAAGTAACTTTAAATCTTAAAGCATAAAATTCAGCATACTTTTTTATCTGATGGGCGTGGTTTGTCCTCAGAAATGGTCGGGAGGAGCGGAGTGGTTTCCCCTGTCTCGTCTATCACATCATGTGGATGTGAAGCAGTTTTACCGATCCTGGAATGAAAGGTCAAAATCATATATGAAAGGACATCTTTAATACAATCATATGACACATGTATGTCAATTTGTTAATTTCTGATATGTTTTTAATCTATTATGTAACCTACCAATATAAAACATGACCTGATTATATATGTTTTGAATAAAACTAATCTAATTTTGATTCAATGTTAATCCCAAACATTTTGAAAAAAAAATACAACCAAAGATTAGTTATCACCTGATCATTTTCAATCTTCAATTTTTTTAATCTTTTAGAAATGTTCAGGAACTAAAATCTTTCCGTACTTTTGTCCTGTACAGGCGACAAGTAAATATGCTTCCTGGTTCCCGTTGTCGTGTATAGACAACAAAATAATATGTCGTCTCATCCCTGTTCAAGAGACTTTGGTGATCCCTGTCTTCCGATAGATGGTTGTAGCACAGGACTCTCAGGTAATCCAATTAATTATCGCCCAAACTTGAACCCATCAGTTTATAGAAAGATTTTGTAAAACAACATTGGTTGTATGGATTTCGGAGTGCAGTTGCAGTACAGAAAGAGCTAATTAATATCAACACCCCCTATATTTTATCTCTTCTTGTTATAATTTCAAAACTTACATTTCAATGATCGTATCTAATGGAAATTCAGCAGTACAGAAAGAGTTAATTAATATCAACACCCCCTATATTTTATCTGTTCTTGTTATAATTTCAAAACTTACATTTCAATGATCGTATCCAAAGGAACTTCAACACGAGTTGTTTCTGTCATTTCACCAGTTGCATCGTCAACATGTATGATCATTTCAGGCGCCATTTGTCCATCCACATTTGACCCATCATCTTTCACCTTTGCCCCCTCACCTATGACCTTTGGCCCTTCTGTTTCCTGTGTTGGTTTCACTGTGGTCGCAGTATCAGCCTTGTCTGATTTTCCGGCTTCTGTTGGAGTGTTTATGGGTGCAATTCTATCAGGTTCTGGGTCAGGGCCCAAGTCACGGACAATCAGGTGTAAAGTCCTTGAAAATTTGTCCGCAATCTGAGAAAGGAAAACACAAGTGTGATAGTTCTGTTTTTTAAAATGCTCATACTCATTACAAATTAAAAGTTGAACTTTTACAGTGTGCAAATTTGTTGAAAGCTTGATTGCATCAACAGTGTATGCGAAACCAACCAGTCAATCTAAAATCAGTCAATCAATTAACATATGGTATATCTTTCTCATGATTTATTATGATATACAAATGTATACAGGTACCAGGAAGTCTTAATATTAACACATGTAATAATTCTGGGCTAGACAATAAGGGAAGCCTGCTAGTCTGAGACTAGTGAAATCTCCTGCTGGACTATCTATATAGCTAGTGGTTCTAAAAACTGCTTGCACAATTGACGAGCCAAAATTTGGGATATTGCTCATCTTGTTGAATAATTATGAGTTTTTGGAATTTGTGCAACAGGACAGAAAACAAGAAGCCAAGGGCCACGTCGTTCTCTGTGTAAATGACTGAAGTGCTTGAAACTTTTGAATCCTGTTGTCAGGTCCGGGAAACAAGAGACCTTGCATCAATTCTGTTTTACATTTTAGCAATGACATATTTTTTCAAAACTAGAAATGTGTCTGTAAGACAAGGATGCCCCCTCCCGATTTGACCATCAATGCAAGGTCAAGGTCACCAAAACACCATGCAACCTGCTGCATTCAGGAAGGCGCCTGAGCATGTTTAGTTGCATGGCCGTATAGCTGTAGTACTTTTATAGTCCATAACTGACCAAAACGCAAAAACTTGCACTATCCATCGATCAATCCATACATATCAGAGGAAAACGCTCAATAATTTTATCACAAACAATTTAATAGTAACTACATGTAAATACATAAATATATATCCATGTTTTCCCCATCGGATCTTATTTACAGCGACTCACCCGACTGCATATACACACAGTGTAGTCAGGGTGCTACAAGCTGATGTTACATACTCACGCTGTGAATTGGTGTGTGTGCAATTTTTAGCATGTCACAATTCACATTTTAGTTCATAACAAGACTTAGTCAAGAGTACTAACTAACTTTAAATACAATTTTAACAAAATAGAACAACAATTGTATCAAACTTGAAACTTGAAATTCCAATATTCTCCCACAAATGCATAGTTATATCACTGATGTGATATTACAAACATAACTTCGACAGAATTTTAGATCCATGGCTATAAATAGCCCAGAGAAATAAAATGGAAACTACTAGCCAACTGACTGGAGATTTTGGGGCCCTAGGCCCTGAATATACCAAATGTATGCAGCTGCAATAAGCTTCTACTATGATCAGTCAACACATAAATCTAAGTACAGTATAAATGGGACAACTGGATAACAGCTGGTGGCCATGGTTGGAAAGTGGCCTGGTGGTGGCTGGATAGCTACAGTATATAGTGGGACAACTAGATTCATAAGATTATAGTGGTGACTGGATAGTGGGACAACTAGATAAGTTGTGGCTGGATAGTGGGACAACTAGACAAGTTGTGGCTGGATAGTGGGACAACTAGACAAGTTGTGACTGGATATAGTGGGACAACTAGATAAGTGGTGACTGGATATAGTGGGACAACTAGATAAGTGGTGACTGGATAGTGGGACAACTAGATTAATTAATAGCGTCTGAATAGTGGGACAACCGCATAAGTGGTGACTGGATATTGGGTCAACCTGATTAGTGGTGGCTAAAGAGTCACACAACTAGGTTATATTTGTATTAGTGAAGGCTGAATTAGGACAACAAGCTTAGTGGTTGCTGTATTAATAAAGTAAATCGTCAATGTGTGCTATGGAATTAAAATTAATTAAGCAAAGTTTAACTCAGAAACAAAACTCTTAAAAGAACTGGTTACAAATTAAATATATATATACCACTCAATATAATAAGTCTGGAATATCAAAATATATATATATATGCTATAAAAAACATTTCAAATGTATTCTTTATATAATTATGTATGGTGTAGTACATTTACTTCTGTGAATACCCCCATACAAAACAAAAAATTGTAGTGAAGTATTTTTTGTGGTTCTATAAATATACCAACCATAAAACCAAAATTACCTGGTCACAGTCAACTGATTCAGTACATAATATACTGCTTTACAAATAGAAATACCTCAATCTTCACTTAATCATGCATATCACATTTACACTGTCAAATTTTGTGGAAATCTTAATAAAAAAGTTAATTGACATACAGTTTATATTTTACACAAGGTTCACATACAATAAGGAAATATTTATGCTCCAATTCCGATGTGTTACTCAGTATTTACTTCCTGTCGGAAATTATTCATCAATATTTTGTATCAAATGACTGTTTTGCATATCCTTAAACCTTCATAAGGCAAAATAAAATGTTTGTTTCCTGTCTGAAAACAATTACGGTAGCTAGCTAGCTATATACAGTAATTATGTAAACAGTGCTTTCAGAAGATTAGGGTAGGTATATATTACCAGAAACAAACAATATTATTTATTTGGACAAGCATTATTTTATCATGTCATCCATCCACCTGTACTCAAATGATTCAACACTGCAACAAACTTACAGGAATTCTAGAACAAAGAATTTCGAATATATAATCATACAGCTTGGCCTTCTTACACTTTTTACAATACTTCTTGAATTTTATATTCATAACATTTTTTTTCAATTTATATGGAAGGGGATATATAAAGGACAACCATGTTCACATTTATAAAATCCAATTAAAAACATTGTTTTTATCATAAAATCCAATTCAAACTATGGAAGAAATAACTTTCAAATAATAAGTTTAATATAAACATACCTTTTTGTCTGATATAAACATCATATGAATTATGTTTTAAAATGAATTTGAACAGGTGTAACCTTTAAATGAAACAGTAATTATAATGGCTTAATCTCTTAAAAAAAAAAAAAAAATGGTCATACGTACAGCTACATGTAATAAATTCTCCCAAAACATATATGCATTGAACGTGAAAAGTGAAAGGTACAATAATTATCAATTTGCATAGATGTTTTTTCCGAATAAGAATCATAATTAATTAATGGGTTTAGCCAATACATCCATTGCACTAAACAACTTTAAAGGCCATGGTAACTGGCCATGGTATATATATATAATCAAAAGGAAATATTAATCCAAATGCTACTTCATAACGATATTATACATTGATAACTAATGTGAGTCTTTTCCTGTTACGTCATTTCCTCATTGAATTCTAATTTACTTCTAGAAAAATCATTTTGCTAGCTTTGTTTTTGGACAAAAAATGGATGAATTCAACAAAACGCTAGAGAACTATGTTGCACGTCTCTTGGTAATATATATCTTTAATTATCCATTTCATAGAACTATAACCATGATGGGTTACTTGGCAAAAATATTTTTACAAGGAAATTGAACATTGTGTCTAGATGGGAATGATGTCAATTAAAGTACATAGCTTTTATGCTGGGATGAAAAGTGATATCGCAACAACAAAGCCATGGATAATACAAATTTAGATAAATATCACCACAGGAAACACTGGATAATTCTCTAACAGGATGTCAAGTATTACCAAAATGGGGTTTTAAACATTTACTTAATAATAAAAAAAAAATCATAGAACCCAATGGGAAAATACATGACATAAGTCAATGTGTGATGACCTTAATGTTGGGGTTAAGATTTGAGGCATTTCAACTCATGATCAGAATTAACTTGTGTATTTGGTTTAAACTTTGTTTAAATATGCAAATTCCGATGCAAATATAGGCATTCATAAACAAAACCTTGCAGTAAATTCAGAAATATTTAAAACTTACACGAACTGCTTCCTCCAACTCCTCTTGACTGCAGAAGGCAACCTGAATAACATCAAAGGCAGTATATTAGGTAACTAGCTAAAAAGTGCTTTATTTTCCCAAAATGAAGAAACAATCTGGAATTTCTTCCCAATTTCAATAAAAAAGACTTCATTTTACCAAATCATGCAATGCAGGAATAAATTAAACTACTGTTTACTTTGTTGTAAACTACTGTTTAATTTGGGTTGAAAAATCACTGATAATGCAGTACATTTGTACTAGTGAAATACATGTATAACACAGAGTCTATTATGTTTCAATTGTTACGTATTGGTGTATAGGTGTGCAACAATTATTCCTTAAATATAATTAGGAAATTCATTTTTACCAAATAACTATTTCTATATACTGTAGTGATGAAAATTAATAAGGTATATTTTTATATAATATATAAGTATTACTTACGTAGTCTCCTTCAGGGTCAATGTAAAATATCTGTACATGCTCGCAGTCATACTGGGCCTTCAACTGGCAAGGAAAAGTACATGTGTTATTATTAATTATAATCATAACTAAATATAAAACATATATCATAAAATGTTGTTAAGTGTGATCATTTCATTAATTATATATATAATATGAACTATTTTTCACATTTGACATATGTCTGGAGCATCAGTGTGTTTACCCATGTACATTCATGTACAAATCTCTTGAGTCAGAATTCGAATAATGCAGTAAATATTTCATCAATTATTGTGAGAATCCAGTTAATTTTCAGCTGCAAAAATGAAAGCAGATGGTCAGATCTTCAAGTTATTGAGAACTATTCCATGTATGTTTAACGTTGCTGGGTGTGTATTAAGGTATAGGCCTCGAAGCAAAGCAACAGTCTGATAAATTGCATATATTAAAACAATTAATGTTGTATCTGTTACTGTATGTAGCAGTTGTGTTGGCTTACATGTATTAAGTTCACTACCAGTTTGCTTTCGAAATGTCTTTACATAAATTTATACCAGAAACAACGTCAGCATCAAAAGGAATATGGCTCATATAAAGCTGACTGGAATTTTAAAAGACTTATATTTAGCTGTATACAATGTATATATATGAGCAATACTAATAAATGTTATATTCCTGCAAATCCTGTGAACTATATTTGTTCAACCCTCTCCCTATTTGATACTGATCCATTCCTGGTATTAACCCAGGCAAGGACAAGTGAAACATCCAACGACTATTTCATCATGCTGTTTTAACTAGTCCTTTCGACTAGCTAGCTAGGTAAGGATAAGAGTTAATAGAACCAGATTGCAGGAATTTTCTTTTTCATTTTCACAAAATTGACTTAGTTTGATACATATGTTGTAATAAAAAATATATTTTATAACTGTACATGTAAAAAAACAGTTGTTTTTAACTATTATTGTCTCGGATCAACCCGAATGCCCATAAATTAACCCCACTATATAACGAGACGATGATTAACAAATATTAATTACGTCTAATTACTCATCCGAAATGCTTCTATTTTAGAAACCAATGGACAATTCAATGACTGGGAAATCTTTTGATACTTTTGTATAACACAATATGACCCCAGTGTTTTTGCCTGACATTCAAGTTGCATGGGGGTAAAATCAAATGTTAATCATGCATTCTGACCCCCTTACATTTACGGCAAGACTTATTTTGAGGGTCTCAGTCTATTTGAGATGGTAAAATACCCCATATGGAGCTTAACAGAAACCCTAGCACGAAAGTATACCCTTCCAAGATTTATCAAAACCACTTGCCTCCGTCAACCACAAATTGCCGTCTTAAGACATATATATATATAGCTAGCAGGCATTAAACCTTATTGTGTTGATATGAAGATAATGTAAGTATATATCAGTGGCGGATCCAGAGACCTATCTGGGGGGGGGGGGGTTCCAAATTTCCTGGGGGGGTTTCCATGTGGGAAAAAATTGAGGAAAATGGTGAAAATATATGATTTTTAAAGAAAATTCTCAGGGTGGGGGGGTTTCCTGAAGCCCAAAAAACCCCTCTGGATCCGCGACTGTATATGGAGTCAAACATTGGGGCAAATTAAATTGAATTTAAACTGAATCTTTAAATTTCATGTGTATATCATATTTATTGGGCAATATAAACTCATGCCTGTTAATAAGCCCACTCAGATCTATTATTGCAGTTTAATAGAAATGTCAACACTTTCTTTTTCATTGTCCTTTAATTAAGAAGCCCGTCTCTATATGGGCCTTTTAAGGGCTTTCAGTAGATCGGTACCCTTAAGAGTACATTTTCACCTCCCCAAAATTAGATATTATTTTGATATTTTAAAGAGATGTCTTGACCCTCTTAAGAAGGAAAAACTTTGCTGACTTCTCAAATTGCAAAATATAAATGCTTATAAGGTTCAACTGTAAGCCATATACATGTTGTGTGTTGGTCCCCCAGGCTTATTGCAGGATAAATCAAATATACTTAAGGTAATAAATATATATGTTGTATGTGTTCTAATTTTTACGATAAAATGTCACAGTACTTCGACAAATACATCTTTGTTGTATTATGTTTATAAATAGTTAACAAATTAAACATGTGGCAGCACCAGTTTTTTCATTTACTGAATTAGTTACTTAATAAATTTTGAGATGAATTTTTTATAAAAGAAAGGGGGAAATGGTCATAATTTAATTAATTTTAAAGGGAAAATGACCCATTATCCATTTATCAAATAAAATCAGCTTCTTTAATAAACCAACTCTAATGCCCTTTAAAATAGATACATGCAACTTGTTGCAACTCTGCTAAAATATAGAAGTAGAATCATTCGTTAAGTTTCAAAGGAATATAAGTTTATAGGGTCTGCATGGTCACAGATGAATTAATGTGCTGAATAAAATATACCACAATTTGACAATTGGAAGGACAGAGTTTTCTTTTATGTGCCATGATGTGTGCAAAGCTGAAGGATTTCATATTTATACACTTTTCAATGTAACCAGCTTTTGGGTAATTCTTTCTTTATATTGATTCCAAGAATAATGGCCAGTCAGCATATTTAACTGTTCTTATGCAAGACATAAGCGATAATAAGCCGTCTCGATGTAATATTAGGGTTTACATCATGGCTATGACCTTTAAACCTATGAATACTCACTGGGCATGCTTTATAGCTAAAGCTGGATATTATGTCATGATAAAAGTTCTCAATTCACGGTCAACATCAAAATATCGATTTACTTTGGACACATCATCGTAATAAACAGGATGACAGTGCATAACAATTGCTTAAAGTTGACTTAATTATATCTAAAAGGTCTTCATTCGGTAAAATTCGATATACATAACTGTTGAAAAAACTGTATTCATTTCCGTTCTTACCATTGCTTCTAGGTCCATCCATTTTGTTTGTGGTGGCAGACAGAATATTTCGGGGTCTATGGTTTCTCCTTCAAATTTAACGTTGAACACAATATCTTCCATGTTATGAACTGTAAGTCGAGTCACTCTGACTACTAAGAATGAATTGACATTGGTAAAACGTGTGGTTGGTTCCTAAAATAGCGCTGATTTTAACGAAATTTCACGTCATATGGGTATGAGTTTCCAGTTGTTGACAAAATGACCTCATCACCCTCACCAAAACAATGGCACGTGACCTTTTAAATGTAGTTCTGCACATTTTGATAAATAATGCAAAGAAACCCGAAAGTTTACGCATAAGAACAATTTAGCACTCCATTAATACACATTTGTAGTCAAATTTTATTTTAATATATTCCAACTAAGCTAGGATAATACTGTTATAATTTTATATGCGTATGAATATATAACTAATAACAAGGTCGTGTTGATATTTAGACATTACGTTATCGGAAGTAGAATGACGAAATTATTGCAAATTCGAACACCGTTAGGGGTTTTAAAATTTCATATAAGATATTGAGATGAATCATTAGTGAATTGATGAATGATGTGTTACTACATTTCGACGTGATTTTAAAACATTGAAGAGTATGAAATGACACCAAGGGCAAGGGTTAACGAATATCCTCCCGGAAGTTAAAGGTAAGTTATACCGAAAGTGAAAGTAATTCTGCCTCCTATGGTTTCGTAGTTTTTTCTTTTTCTATCAATCCGGTTCAACAACTAAGCCCACTGAAGGATGCCTATTATTCAACCCACTGATAAATTATATTCAAATACCACAATTAAAGATCGGAATTTAAAAGTACCTAGTTTGGATATATTGAAATTGTACCGTGTATACTGTACCTCTTCTTCTTCCAATTAAAGTTCAGGCCCTTTAAGATATTCTTGCACTGGTTCATGTAAGACAGTAAAAAAGCATCTGCTCGAGTATGTACATGTGATCAGTCAAAAACACTCTCTGCCTTAAGATGGTTCCATGACCTCACCGCAGATGGGAAGAATGAGTGCTCGGGTACTCTGGTCAGCACACGCACCTGCGGTTGGATGAATCGCTGTTGGTGTGCTCTGGTTCGTGATGTTGTGGACTCTCGGAGGTTAAGGGATTCTGCGCTGATGTCAATGTCAGGCCATTATTATTTATTTCAGAATGATCTTAAACAGCATGGCTTAAATTTCTGGGCCTCTAAGATATGACCTTCCTTCCTTGAGGGAGCACCATCCGAGGACCTGGAGCATGGCAGTGATGCTACTGTACGGGTCAAAGTCGCCCAACGTGTAACGAGCATCCCTGGGCTGTATCCTCTCCAGCTTGTCAGTGTTGGCTTGGGGATATGGGTTCCAACTGATCCATATCCGACAATACAGGTCGTACCAGTGTGGTGAAGCAGGTTCTGCCTTACGGTCGGTGGGAGACTTCTTCAGGTTGTTCTGGATGAAGGCGTTGGTGGAATTAGCCTTCTTGCATATGGTGTCAATATGCTTGTTCCTTGAGAGATTATGCTGGATGGTGACACCAAGGTATTTAGCTGAGGTTTAAACATTCTGGAGAGCCTGACCATGGATGGTGTAGGTCAACTTCAGTGGGTTCCTCTTGTTGGTGATCGAGATGACCTCACACTTGTTGGGGTTAAAACTCATCAACCAGTCATCCTTCCTCTTCTGTTGTCTGTTGAGGTTGTTCTGTAACTCTAGCTGCATCTCTAGATGATGTGATTACCCTATAAAGGAGGCAGTCGTTGGAGAACATTCAGGGTGTAGAAGTGACACAGGTAATTGATATACACCAGGAAAAGGAGCGGTCCTTATAGGGGGCATGCCTGATGTGACAGGTGAAGTGTCTTACTGTTGACCTTCAAGAACAACCTTCTGGGATCTGCCTGTCAAGAAGCTCTCGACCAACGAGAGGGTGTTCCCTCATATCCCGTAGTGGTTGGGCTTAACGAGCAGCCTCAGGTGGCAAACTTGATTGCACGTCTTTGAAAAATCAAGTAGCACTGCATCGATCTCTGCTCCTTTGTTTAGGCTCCTGGCAACGTGGTCTACGGTGATGAGAAGTTGGCTCTCACATGAGCCGCCCCTCCTGAATCCATGTTGGTAGTCGGACAACAAACCATGGCTCTGTTAGTGGTTGATCGCGCTGGTGGGAACAATGTGTACCAGTAGTTTGTTGCAAGTTAACCTGGGCTATAAATAGTGTTGTCTTCGGGGGGAAAAAATTAAACACTTGAAAAAGGAGGGAGAAATGTAGTGGAAGTGGACTAGTTGGGCCAATTATTGGCGCCCATGAGGCCATTAGGTAGCTTAATGGGTAGAGCTTCCGTCTAAAATGGGGAGGGTCACCGGTTCTAATCCTGAACTGACTGAATTTTTCACTCCATGCTAGAGTATTATTGATTATGTCATCAATATATTACAACCCAATATATATATTTTCGCCGCGGTTTAACTTTCACCTTTTTCATCCTTCGGGAATTTACCATGACATTGAAAATAGGTACACAACTTACCATATATAGGTACATGTATTACATGTTAAGGGCAAAATTAAAACTTAGTGAAAATGGGTTCTACTGATGAAGGGACGAGAGTTTTAGCTATTTCTTTTTTTTTCCCTTTTTAGGTTGAAAACAGAAATGGCAGGCAACACCAGCTACCCTGATAGTAGAAATATTCCTTTGACTTTGACGGCAAAGTATGCCTCATCGTGGGGAACATGGGAAGGAATACGCGAACTTGTCCAGAACTGGCATGATGGGATATATGGTTCCATTAGCCAGAGAGGAATTTCCTTGATTTCTGAATATGAGATTGTTTTTTGTGAGGTACGTAATTAGCTTCAATCTTTCAGTCTCAACAGAAATCAAAATATTTAGAAAAGCCTGAAACACAAACAGCAACTGTCATTGTCAATGCTCCTCGACTTCGTGGTAAACTTGGGCTAATAAGATAAAGTTTTATTGAGCATAATATATTTCTTGACAATTAATGGTGTAATTTTTTTCCAGGAACAAAACAGCAATAGTTTGTTCTTCATACATCTGATGTGTTATTCCCAACACACAGTAGGGAGATTAAATTGTTTGACAGATTTTCATTACATGTCTTCTTTGACCAAAATCAGAATAATTCATTTTTTGACGTAAAGCAACCTTTAGAAAGTTTGCAGCGATATTGCTGCAATATTGCCAAAATATTGCGGCACACAAAATCTGTTTGCAAGAACAGTTGTTTCCAAAAGTGCACAGAATATCGGTGCTAGCGGTGACATTCTGGTGGTATTCTAGCTTGCACACTTTTCATATCACCAGAATATCAACAGAAGTGCAGCACAGATTAGGAATTCCCAGTATCCTCTGTTACTTGTCTAAATGTAGTTGACCTCCAAATTCAAAAATTACAAAATGAAAAGTTGGTTGAAAGAGAGATTTTGATCTTACTTGGATAAAGAGATATATTTTTTTATTCACATAAGGTAATGTAGAAAGGTTTTATACCAGGTATATGTTTTTTTATAATCCATGGTCAAAAAACATAAAATCTTGAATGAACTGTAGTGTTAATATATATTATGACATGTTCATGTATGTAATTACCATTGATCCAATGTTTTTTAAGTAAACAGAAGAAAATTACTAATTGGTGTTAAAATAAATTTTCAAAAAACTTGAGAATTTCAAATATTACAACCGATTGTAGGGAGATTATGATTATTTATGGGGAGTTTCAGTTTTTCAAGGTTAAAGATAAAAGGTGACTCCCTACAAAATAAGGTGACATCACATGTATAGTCCCTTCTTAGAGAATTTAAAAATTTCACTTCATAAAGAAAATTCAAACCTTTGATTATCTGTTTATTTCAGGAAGGAAGCAGTAACAGATTCAAAGCCTGCCTCGTGATATCTGACACAAAAGAAGAAATACTTCTGGGTCGATTAATATACAACCAATTAGAAAGCAAGCTGACCCTCATCAACAGCTTTACCCAACTTCATAAGAAAATCCTGTTGCTAGGATACAGCGGCAAATCATCTAGTAAAGAAATCATTGGGCAATTTGGAGAAGGGTTAAAGGTCGGAGCGCTAGCATTGGTCAGGAATGGGCATCTTGTTACCATGGAAACATGCAAGGATCAATGGAAGTTTGATTTGAAATATAATGAAGAATTCGGAGAAAAAGTTTTGACAGTTGTTGTAACAGGTAGGATCTTTTATAAGGGAAATAATATATACAGGATTCCAGGTCTTTAATACATGTATCAGGTCATTATGGAAGATTGATATTTTAAACTTGGTTTATTTTACATCAATTATGAAAAAAGTTCTATCAATGTATATTTATATATTATCACAATAGTTGGCCAGGATGGAAAGGGTTTTAATGTGGGAGGAAACCAGAGTACCTGAAGAAAACCCAAGTGGTCAGGCAGGTGACCCAATACCTTTTCACATTGATCTGATTGGTGAATCAAACCCTGACTGCCTTATGGTAAAAAACAACATACACTATCAGCTGTGCCACTCGACCAAAACATTTATATACGTTATGCAATATAGCATGTTGTGAAAGCATCAGTTCCATTGTTTAAAAAAGATATGTCTCACTTCTTACGTACAACTTCACTAATGTTTGGTAATAGTTGTAATGCTTAATACTGAAGTTCAAAAGAAATAAGAATGGAACGCTGGGTGCAGCAACCAAAGTTCAAAGGTCAAAGGTCACAGATTACTTCTGAAAGATCGATATCTCTCAGGTTATAAATTTGCGACAATTACCGTCAACAGTATTAGTAAAACTAAAGAAATCTGGGAGGGTTTAAGGTTAAATTCAGACAGTTTGCAGTTCTTCAATAACAATATTTTTAGAGAAACATATATAACTGTTTCTTGTATTTTCACCTGCCTTAAGCTGTAGGGCTAATCTATTTTAGTTTGGGTTTTATGTTCAAAATTAACTGAACAATGTGAAAAGAGATGAATTATGCATACTGATAAGAAGTTTCAAGTAATATTCTTACTTATTTACCAACAATTTGTTCACGTTTTAGAAAAGCAGAAAAAGAAATTAAATGTAATTGGGTATTGGACAAATATTTTCTTCCAGAGAGAATTACAAGTGAAGGACTAGATAGAATAGGTGAACAAAAAAATGGAAAGTAAGTATATAAAAAAAGTCAAATATGAAAACAAAGACTATAGAAAAAGATTGTGAAACCAACGAAAAATAATGAAAGAAAATTCATATTATATACCTTGTATATAAGATTCAAGATGATAGATAAAATCACATTTGCTGTTATTGTAAAATTACAGTTTTAGATTCTACATTTAATTTAACTCAAGTATGCATAAAATGTATGTTTATTGATGTTATTATCAATTATATTTTAATGTTCAATTATTGAATCTAAATGATTTAAGCATATTGTCCAGACAATATTAAATGGAAAATATCTTCAACACCCATAAAATCCAAAATGTTAAAAAGATTTTTTTTTTTAAATCTAAACATACGTTGTCAAGAACCAATTTAGATTGATGACATTCCCAATTTTGATATTTTTTTCACACACAAATTACACATTGTGAAGGCCCTGGTTGGCCCAGCGTTATAACTTGTGATGATAGGTATATTTTGTTTCAGTGTACAACCATCTGATACATGTACTACTATCACTGGAGTTGATGACTGGAAAACTTATGTAAGTATATGTACCTGTTGAACCTGTTGAATATCTACTAGGATAGAATTTAGGAGTTTTATTAATTCTACAATTATAATCATTGTATTCCAAAGTGGTCTGTATATGTGGTAATTTGTACAGTGAAAACTGTATAATTTAATTTCGGCTATTCCACGAAGGATAGACTTTTTCAGATTATATATTGTATAACCTAAAAACAAATAGATGATGGTGTCATATACCACACTATTTGACATAGTATTAATTTGTAATTCTAACTTCTGAGGGTTATTGGGAGAAAGCCGACATGTTCAGGCAGGTGAACCCATGCCTTTTCAAGTCCAATCTGGGAATATCACCCCAGCCGCCTTGGTGAAAGGCGAGTATATATATGTTATCCACTTGGCCACCCGACCACCCTGTCATTTTGTTGGATTGAGAGTTTCATATCAGAATATGTAGGGGTCAGATTTGGCAGGTTCCACTCTATTTTGCTATTTTTTTAATGTTACCAGCTTTCCTTTTTTTCAAAGCTAAAAACTGATTATTTGAATATTTTGTTTCCTTATTGATTTATTTGCAGCTTGCCAGATTCCTATTTCTTCAACCGCCAGTAGAAAGTGTGAAAACTCAACTTGGTATGTCAAAATGGTAATCTGAAATCTAACTAGAACAAATTGTACATTTAAAACTCATTTAATTACTCATTTTTGGTCCTAATTTGATGTTAATTGAATACACAATGGCAATAGCTTTTTATAAATCAAGTTTAAACAAAAGTAAGTAATCAAACCACCTCTATCAAAAGATTTTCCATGTAATTATAAAAAAAATGAAATCCTAATTAATTGTCTTCACAATATCCAATTATTTTTTCATGTTGGAGATTTATATACAAGATCTGAAATTGATCTTAGAATATATTCAGAGTTTGAAAAACACTTTATCTAATATGGATTTAAGCTGAGGTGTATATGTGGTTTTATAGACCTTAGAAAGATCATAACAAATTCAGGATTGATTGAACTTTTCAGTTAAAAAATGTATTAGTTGTGTAAAAAGAACTTTTCATAATTGCAATTGAAGTGATGTCATACAGAAAATATCCGACTGCTGCTTCTTAAAATAGTAACATTCAGTCATTATAGTGAAATATTTTATTACACCTCTTTTTTACTTCATCCTCATTGGTTGAAGCAAATCATGTGGAGTTTGGAGATTTTTGATATTTACTGGGTGTTATTATTTTTAGTAACAGAAAGTTAATATTCTCTTAATGATGCCAATTCAATTGTAATATCACAATGCTCTCTGCCAAATGCAGTACTGCTCTCCTCACAGTTCTCATTCTTTCCATTTTGTTTAATGATTATGCGAAAAGGCAGAATTTTGTATTTAATATGAAAATTAAAGACTTTTATTTCAGTGAAGATGTGGTCATATGGATCTGAAAAGTTATATTGACCGTGACTTTATCTTGGTTAGTATTGCTTTCTCAGGTTAATATAACCACATATTGACCTCAGCAATATTTCAAATCAATAAATATGGACCCACATATGACCAGGGTTAATGTAACTTTTCCTGGTCCACATAACCACCATTTCTGCTTGCCAAGGGTTACGATCTGGTACGATCTACCTGCTCTTCACTAAGTGGAGAGTAGTTAGACCGGATTGTACCGGATCGTAACCTTTGGCTAGCGAAGATGCATAACCACATTCACTTCTGAAAAAGTCCATAATCGATAAATACATTATCACATCTTGGCCAATCATAGTTCAGGAAGTGCAGACCTTATCTAATATTAGAAGTCACAGTCTGTAATGATGGGCATTAATGTTACCAGGTAGTTTGCTGTTGGATGAGAGTCTAGCGGGACAGATGTATGTCAAAGGATTGTGGGTATCTGACCTCAGTCAGGAAGACCTGGCAGCCGGCGTTGATTTCACTTCCCTCCAACTGGATCGTGATAGAAACGCTGTCCCAAAACCGAGTGAAATCGACCACATGGTAATTCTAGTTTGATGTAAAATGGTGTTTTATATAAAGAAAAGGGAAACAGAAATGAAAGCTACAGTACATACAATGTACAACTGCAAAAAATAACCAAAACAATAGTTGTTATTTCATTCCAATTGCTCCTGACAATATTTTTGGCTTACCGTATTTATCATGCACTTAGCCCAGGGGGCTAACACATACAGTAATCTCTTGACTGAAAGTAGGAGGATGGGCTTATTACAGGGCATTGAAAAAGCTTTTGTTGGTATTTCTTCCTTAATGCAATAAATGTCCGTCAACAATTTCTTTAAATAACTTTTCTTCTTAACCACTGATTGGAATTTAACTAAATTTGACTGGAAGCATCCCTAGGATTCAAAATTGTACAAATGGTGTGGCTGACCCCCCAGGGGGCTGTGGGGTGGGGCAAAAGGGGGGCAATTTGGCTATATTGCTTTAAGCGACTTCTCTGGAACTAAGAGATGGATATCAACCATATTTGACTGGAAGCATCCCTAGGTGGGAGAAATTCAAAATTGTACAAATGGTTGGGCTGACCCCCCAGGGGGCTGAGGGGCGGGGCCAAAAGGGGGCAATTTGGCTTTATTGTTACAAACGACTTCTTCAATAGAACTATGTACTGGATACCAATCATATTTAATCAAAAGCATTCATGGGATGCAGGGATTCAAAAATGTACAAATGGTGGGGCTGACCCCCCAGGGGGCTGAGGGGCGGGGCCAAAAAGGGTTATTTGACTATATTGCTTTAAGCGACTTCTTCTCTGGAACTAAGAGATGGATATCAACCATATTTGACTGGAAGCATCCCTAGGTGGGAGAAATTCAAAATTGTACAAATGGTTGGGCTGACCCCCAGGGGGCTGAGGGGCGGGGCCAAAAGGGGGCAATTTGGCTATATTGTTACAAACGACTTCTTCTATAGAACTATGTACTGGATATCAATCATATTTAATCAAAAGCTTTCATGGGATTCAGGGATTCAAAATTGTACAAATGGTGGGGCTGACCCCCCAGGGGGCTGAGGGGCGGGGCCAAAAAGGGTTATTTGACTATATTGCTTTAAGCGACTTCTTCTCTCGAACTAAGAGATGGATATCAACCAAATTTGACTGGAAGCATCCCTAGGTGGTGGGGATTCGAAATTTGTACAAATAGTGGGGCTGACCCCCCAGGGGGCTGAGGGCGGGGCCAAAAGGTGGCAATTTGGCTATATTGCTATAAACAACTTCTTCTGTAGAACTATGCCATGGATATCAATCATATTTAGTCGAAAGCATTCATGGGAGGCAGGGATTCAAAATTGTACAAATGGTGTGGCTGACCCCCCGGGCTAAGGGGTGGGGCCAAAAAAAATTTATTACTTGGATATGGTTGAGATCCCCACCATATAACCATATATACAATTGCTGAGTATAAAGAAAAGAATGCACATTTGCTTCTAGGATGTCCCTAGGGTCTGGCCCCACCCTTGGAGACATAGTCCCTGGGCCATAACTTTAAAACAGTTGAGATCCCCACCCCAAAACTATATATACAAATGCTGGGCATAAAGAGACGAATGTAGTCATGATATTAGAAATTAGACCCTGGGGTTTGACCGAACCCCTAGGGACCTAGTTTCTTAGTCACAGCTTGGAAACAGTTGAGCTCCCCACCCTATAACCATATATACAATTGCTGAGTATAAAGAGATGAATGCACATATGCTTCCAGGATGGCCTTGGGGACTGCCCCACCCTTGGAGATTTAACCCCTGGATCATAACTTTGAAATGGTTAAGATCCCCACCCCAAAACTATATATACAATTGTTGGGCATAAAGAGATGAATGCAGCCATGATATTATAATTGACCCCAGGGTCTGCCACACCCTTGCAGACTTAACCCCTGGATCATAACTCTGAAACGGTTGAGATCCCCACCCCAAAACTATATATACAAATGCTGGGGAAAAGGGACAAATGCAGTCATGATATTATAATTGATCCTGGGGTCTGGCCACAACCGTAGGGACCTAGTTTCTGAGTCACAGTTTGGAAACAGTTGAGATCCCCACCCCATAACCATACAAAAAATTGCTGGGCATGAAAAATCTTATACAGATATGCTACAAGGATTGGCCTTGGGGTCTGGCATATTCCCTTGGATCAATTTTGGAGAATATTTTGCCATGATTGCTTAGATATCCAGGTGAGCGATACGTATACAGGCCCTCTGGGCCTCTTGCTAGTTATATAAAGTTTAAAAAAACATATTTTCCTAGATTTCTAAGAACTTGTAGATGTTGTATGATTTAGAGGTTGTTTATATGATCCTTATGTTGTTTATGTCGGATTCAGATGAGTGGAATTTGGATCAAAGCTATAGAGAGACGACCAGACCTTGTCAATAGATACTTTCATTTGCTGAAATCTGAGTAAGTTATTATGTTATTAATTTGCAATGGATTACAGAAATTTGTCTCAGTGGAGAGTCGCTACAAATTAACAAAGATCTGCCTCAGTGGGCAGGATGCTGCCCCTGATGGTGGAGAGTCGCTACAAATTACCAAAGATCTGCCTCAGTGGGCAGGATGCTTTCCCTGATGGTGGAGAGTCGCTACAAATTACCAAAGATCTGCCTCAGTGGGCAGGAAGCTGTCCCTGATGGTGGAGAGTCGCCACAAATTAACAAAGATCTGCCTCAGTGGGCAGGATGCTTTCCCTGATGGTGGAGAGTCGCTACAAATTAACAAAGACCTGGCTCAGTGGGCAGGATGCTGTCCCTGATGGTTGAGAGTCGCTACAAATTAACAAAGATCTGCCTCAGTGGTCAGGATGCTGTCCCTGATGGTGGAGAGTCGCCACAAATTAACAAAGATCTGCCTCAGTGGGCATGATGCTGTCCCTGATGGTGGAGAGTCGCCACAAATTAACAAAGATCTGCCTCAGTTGTTGGATTTGCCTGAAACACCTAGATTAAACTAATATTACTTTAACGATATGAGAGCTCAATTTAGCTTGTTCAAACTTGCCAACTCTCCCTATTTAGGAGAGAGATTCCCGATTGTGGACCCTTGAGTTTAGTATTTTCAACCAGTGAAATTGCTAAGCTTTTCCTGTATTCTAAGATCTAATAATTTCATCTGAAAGAACAACTCAAAAGATGCCATTTAAATGTATTATTTTGTCTCAAAGGGGTAATATACACATTCTTTTTCTGTTTTAATTTTGAGCTTGCAGACTCTCCCCCATAGAATTTCAAAAAGTTGGCAAGTATGCTTGTTAATCTCATTAGTCTAGCCCATGCTCATGCTGTTGGCTCAGTGGAGACAGGTTTTGCCCTGTAGCATTGAAAATTATCCAATGTTTTGGGAGAAAAATGTGATGATGGAAAATGAGTATGATAGTCTGATCAGTGACAAGAGATTTCCATGTCAAAACGAGAGAAATAGATGATGGTCAGATGTGTAACAAACTCAAGTGACTTCTTTTGCAAAACCATCAAGATACTAAATGTCATAATATTTGTTCCGAAGTTTGCTTACCGGTGCATGAGGGGCTATTAGATATACTAAACTGAACAACCTTGACCTACTCAAAAGGTCACAGAGTTGAATTATGTAAGATAAAATAAACAAGGTGAACAGCTTATGACCATTTTGTCTCATTTGTATGCTTATTGCAAATTTCAATATCAAGGTGAGGATTATTTTTTTGTATTTTGTAGACGATACAGAGATGTCCGCCATGCTGCTGAGTACAGTACAGAAGATTTTGCTAAATCGATTGCGTCTGTTTTTCTGAAGTAATTATCCATTTCCCACTTCTATTAGCTCAGAATCTGTCTAGCACAGCAAATTACCTCTAAATGTACAGAATTTAGCTTGTGTTAAAGGGAGGGAGTTCACAGGCCAAATTGATCTGAACAAGAACATATTCTGACATGTAATGTAGCTAAGAATGTCACCTTTATGTCAGTAATGTAATTTAGTTTTTAACTCAGAATATGGCCTCTAAATATATGTAATGCAACTTAGAATGTCAACTTTAAAAGTTTAGCTCAGAATATCACCCTTCAGGATATGTAATGTAGGTCAGAGGTCACCTTTATGTAGATAAGTAGTACTTATGTAATTTATCTCGGAACATAACCCAAAATATTACTTCAAAGTATATGGGCAAAGAAGTAATAACGACAGTTTGTACAAAGAAATTTGTCCAATTTTTAGGGCGATCTGTCCCTATCAAAACAGGAACATGAAAACTACATATCACAACATATAACAGAGATAAACAGTCAAAAATAAAAGTTACTTGTACAAAATATGCTGTTGTGATTGCATACCTCCTCTGTTAGCTTGTAAAGGAAGGTAACAATTAATTTATAACCTTGAATACATGAGGTCAAGTGAATTAATTCTAAAAATCTGAATAACTGCAGTGAGAAAAATCATATGTAGTAGTTTGTGTAAACACGGCATGAAATCAAATTTGAATACACTTTAAAGTATATGTAATATAGCTCAGAATGTCACATCTATGGTTCTACAGTAATTATATCTTATGATATATTTCCGATGAATCAATATCTCCATAATTTCTCTATGAATATAAATATTTTTCCTACATAAATACAGTACATACTGTGGAGATAACCTTTAATCTCCCCCATTCTTCCTGTGTTCACATAATGTTTATACGCGGAATCTTTTTAATGATCAATCTTCAAATTTTTCAGAAATACAAAACGTACATTTGTAATGCATGCTGAAGATAAATTTTCATTGCTGGTTTTACATTCTATCAAACTTAAGGTTAATATGACCTTTTGTTTCCCCTTTGACCTTGTTTTGACCTTTGACCTTGACTAACCCTTTGACCTTGACCCGTGGTTGTTTGTTTTGATTTACAGTGAGTTTGGTGACCATGCCTTCCCCTTGTTAAATAGTAGCTCAGCTGAAGACATGGCCTCTGTCAGTGAAGAACTCCGCCTGATGGTAATAAAATGTTGGATTTGCCTGTGAAAGCAGTTCTATACTTATATTTACCCTTTTTGGAATTTGTTCATCTCATAGAAAATTTAATAACACTTATTATTATTCAGCATTTAGCTCCAATAATGTGTGTATCGTGTATGCTTGTTCAATTAATAGAACAGCCACCGCCCAGGGAGGGTCAGTGGTATCTAATGCACAGTTATGACATCATAATAAGGATGTCAACAATTGGTCCATATACCCGGTAGGTATATAGGGTTATATAGTGGCAATGCCATACGATGGTAAATATTTTGTTTTTAACAACGCTTTCTCTTAACTGTGCTTGGGTAACAGTGAAATTGGAACCATATTAGACTATAAACACAAAACTTAATAATCATAAAATCTTCCATTTTGAAAGATGATTTTAAAGGAAAGATGTCTTTGAAGAAAAAATAATAATTTCAGCATGACTCTATAGCTTTGATAAATCATTTCTGAAAAGAAAACGATACCTTACACGACTTATATGAGAAAGAATAAAGATGAAATACACAAAATATCATCAGTGGAACTAGACCCAGATTTGAACCCTGTACTTCAGACTGTTATACTATCATTCTAACCGATTTTACTTCCTGATCATTGGAAGTGTCTTGGCCAAACTGTTCTAGAGCTAAAGTTAAAAGTAAGCTAAGGGGAGGTAACTGTTTATAGAGAAAAAAAAACACAGTGCAGTGGGACAGGGATCCTTGACAGAAACCATAACCAGAAAATTCAATGTCAAGGTCGTTTAAATATTCTGAGGTCAAGGTCATTTTGCTTATTTTCAGACCATCCTTTGTAACCAGACTATGTATGAGATCCTGATGAAGTCTGGGTCCTACAGGTCACTGGAGAGTGCTCTGGAGGCAAACAGAGCAAAGCAGAGGAAACCTGTTGCATTCTTCTCCCTGACCCAAATTGAAGTCGCTGTGCTGGAATCAGCTGTAGAGCTAGCGAGACTGGTCGACACTTCGGTGGATATTTCCCTGTTGGATATAATAGAAACAAGTCTTACAGAGGTATATTGTCATTTGAAACTAGATACAGCGATAATCCAACTTAGGTAGCTGTGTACAGTAGAGGGTTGTGGTCATGGGTGATATTTTTGTTAAATGGCTAACCCCTGTATAATATGTAAAAAAAATATAAAAATAAAACTGTACTAAAATTGGTATACCAGGTAAGCATGATGAAGTGGGCTATGTGAGCTTCACATTTGTGAAAAAAATAAAAATGTTTTTGGTTCGAGAATGAAATTTTGGCCATAATCCGAAAGGGTGCTTACACATGAAAAGCTAGCATTACAGCAGGTAAAATTTAGACAACAGCACACAACGCAAAATTGCAAAATATCAAGTTTGACAACTTTACTGGGACCCAGATAATTCTGCAACAAAGTAGGTAATCTTTAATTTCAGACAGAAATTACGAAAAAAATTGTAGTTGCGGGGGTCAAATTTTGGGTCAAAAATAGCTTTTTTTGGTAATTTTTGATGTGGTAACCATGGTTTTCACACAAGTGACATACATAGAAAAAAGAGGTTTATACACTTCTCAGTACTTTATATGTGTAACCGGGTATCAAATTGACCACCAAGTCGTTATTTGTCGTGAATAATTCTTTATTCAACATAGGTTAAAACACCTACACTCTGTAACAAACACAAATTAAAAGACTACAATTACTCTACAGTAAAAATAGAAATACAGGTAAGTAATCAAATAATCACTCCCTGTAACCTATAACACACACATATCTCTTTTACACACTCTAAACAATTTGGGCACAAACAAATAGACATGTATACATACAAATTATATAAAACAAGATATTAATCACCCTATTACATATGTATTGTAAATATAATGCAGTTAACAAATATATATACATGTATATATGTGTTGTGTAGGGTAAATCCGCTGTGTTTACTTTCTCGACATGTGCCTTGTTTTTCAGAGTCGGGCCATTTCTACTGTACACTGCTACCTTAAAGCGGGAGTTCCGATTCTGACTATGAAAAATGTAACTGGAAATTTGTATTGCATGATTTTGATTTTGGCCTTGTTAACCGTCCACAATAAGGGTAATTTATCATGACAGTGGATATTAGTCGCATCACACCCTATATATGAGGGTCGAACATTTACACTTGTGAAAAGCAAATACTTTACTGAACTAAAGTTGCCAGGTTTACATAATAGTTCGTAAAATAGGGTTAGGCTGAAACCTGTCGCTTTGAGATGGAAAATCTGTGTTTGTACAATGAATTTGTTTAATTCATTGTAGCACGGAATTAGATTAGATTGTTATCTAAGTCCGTGATTGTAGTCACTGAAACCATTTTTGGCAAAGAAAATTATTGTGAATATCTGAACAATAAACAGTGTGAAACCATTAAGGTTAAGATAAATTGTAAAGACCTGTCGTAATTCACTGCTCGAAAAGTTCTATTTGTTACCTGGAAAATTGCTTCAATATAATGTGCCAGATTTCTGAATAATCTTGAGTTCCCTGTTAAATATTAACAACATCATCTCATTTTGAGCTATATTCTACAGAACGCAATTTTATGGTTCAAGAAAATAAAGCATTGAAAGAGGTAGTCACATAGCTGAAGGTTAGATTGTGTCATCTCCCTTCCAGTCTGTGTTGGGCAAACTGTAATAAGCTTGTCCAATTGTTTGTGTTGCGAAACTGGACTGGGTTGATCTTTGGCAACCTGAGGTAGCTCCATTGGTAGAGCATCCGTCTAGAGTTCAGAGGGTTCCCGGGGTAGAACCCGGTCTTGCCGTAATGCATTTCTCTTTCTCCTGTTACATTTGTTTGTCCATATATGAAATCTTGTCTGGACTTACTCCTCACAATTTGATGTACAGATTTCAATAAAACTTTTATGCTTTTATGCATGATGGATACGTTAGGTAGTTGCACACCTGATATTTATACATTTGTATTTTGGTTTCAACTTATTTACCACCCTGTTATCACCCTTTTTATACTTATGTAATTATGTCACTTTATTTAATTTATACAGAAATTATATATACTTTACATCAAACCAACCTTTAATTTTCAATATTCAAGATGGCCACCATAGTCCCTGATTGGCTGAGACAATATTGGTAATGAAATGAGTTCTATTGGACTATGTTTGTGGACTCTTTGTCAGATTGATACATAGAGGATTCAGGATTTATTTTACATTTTGAAATTATTTGACTCATGTTTGCCTCTAAAGCCTCTGATGTCTGGGATTTTAAAAGCTTCACTGGTAGAGCAGGGATTATTGGTGTGCCTGTGGCTTCAATACATGTTTTTCTTTTTGTCTCTTAAAAATGTTGTTCTGAATAACAGAGAGACTTGGTGTAATGATATTTGGCCTGTGCTATGTTGGAGTGAAAGGATATCAAATTTCATTCCCAATAAATGATTTTGACTTTCTTTCAAAGTCAACAGAATCAACTGTGTTTAACCCTTTTAAAAACTTCCGTAAATCAAAGAAGCAATTTTTTTATAAGGAAATTATATTTTTTGGCCAGTGCTAGTAGCATGTTGGATTGCAGGGCCTAAAAGACCCTGCATTTAATTTCAAGGTCACAGTGGTCAGTTGTCTTATAAGGTTTAAACAACTTCTGATACATATTTCCAAGGGTCCTAGAGATTCCTTTGCCAGTGACATTGAATAAATAACAAGTGAGTTATTGAGGCCTATTGGGCCTTTTTTACTGATTTAAAAGATGATCATTTTTTTTTTATATTATGATTTACAGACATGCTCAAGTGATGGCTCCAGAATTTCCGTCCCAAGATGGTACTTGGATAAATCTTGTGTTCACAAGAGGGGATCTCTATGTGGCAGAACCAACGAAACAATGGAAAAGGTATATCTCACACAAAAAGTAGTTTGTTGATCTACTGTACCGGTATAATTGTCCTGGTGGTGTTATTTTCCTGCTCTTCACAGAAGGATTTAACCAGAAGTTCAACAATGCAGCAAAAGTTTCTAGTTAGTTATAAGGTTTAAATTGGTATTACCAAAATATAAAAACTTGATAATTCCTTATAATTTGAAATACAATTGTTAAAAGAAATTTAAACTTATTTATACAGTACATCATTGTTTGACCAATCAGATAGGACAATTTCAAGAGGGTTTTGTTAGGTTATCACATCAAACATAAAAGATGAACAAATGCTAGCTATTACTCCTCAAAATTCTTCAAGGAGGTTCTGACATGTGGAAATGTTTGTATTGTGACTCTGTGAACTAACCATGATATATAGGATCTTAAATGAGTTTTCATTTCATATGAGATTTCATGAAACAAGTCTTAGGAGTTTTATTTTTGCGAACCTTGGCGAGCAAAAATTGAAACTTCGAGACGAGTTTCATAAAAGCTCATATGAAATGAAAACAAATTTAAGATGATTTTTATCACATAACTCAGAAAACATTTTGACAGGTTTTAAAGCCAAAATGTAGAGGGCTTAATCAAACGGAAACAGACATTTTGTTGCGCCATTCACAATTTATGACACGTCATTGTCCATGTTATGACGTCACAATCAGTTTCTGACTGGCACAGCCAATGAAAAACGCTCCAGGGTATATTACATTAGTGACATATGTAAAAATATTACTTGGGCGAATTAACTGGATAACAGGCCGATTATGTGATATATGGATATTTTTACATAGGCAATCTTTATGGCTTGTTTTTAAATTTCTATATAATCTAAAAAGAAAACTTTGTGTGTGCATGTTTCTTCTCTAAATAGTCATTGGGGAAAATGCAAATATTTCTAATTTAATCATTTACAGTACATGACAAATTATAATACAATAATGAAGGAATATGTAATTTTGATAAACCGAGTAGTATGAAACTAAAGCATCCTAACTTGTTATTGACCCTTTCACCACTGTAGACCATGATGGACTCATCCAGGTCAATGCATGATAGAATCTGCTAAAGTTACATAGGGGTGAAAGGGTTAAACATCCAATGTGCAGATTTTATTTTATAGGTAAGGTCGTTTAACAGCTAAGGTCATTAAAGGACATGCCTCCATGTGTGTATAGTGTCCACCGTATGTGTGCTGGAGGCAGGGCATGGAGGTGTATTTGCCTCCTTGTGGTAGCACAAATCTGTTTCCAACTTTAGAGTGCTTCCTCTCTTAAATACCATGCTGAAGGCACCTAGCAAAGCATTCCACCCAGTCACATTATACTGATAATGGGTGAACCAGTTTTTGTCATTTCCCTAATTATTGAACTCAATGTGAAGTAGGGAATAACAACTATCATTTTAAGGACCTATGAATGTCCCAGCATTGGGATAGAATCCATTGCCCTCCTTACCGCAGCAAACATTCAGCTTTAAAGCCAAAAGTAAGGTTTCGCCAAGAAAGACACTAGGAAACAAAAAATACTGGTATTTAGAAATAGAGAGAAGTATAAATATCCCAAATATTGTAATGGGTGCAGCAGCTTCATTTTGGTCACTTTTGTGTCCCCAAGTAGAGGGCACAAAAAGAAATCCCCAACCATGAAGGGGTTTCCCGCATTAGTTGTCACTTACAATCATGCAGTGGGTAACAGAGGGTACACTTTTTTCTCAATTCCCGACCTTCAGGAGAGCCAATATGGAAAGAAAGGGAAAAAACATGGCATGTACATATATGTCCAATAACTCTTTTTATCTTTGAATTTTAAAAAATATATGAAGAAAACTACAGTTTCTGTAGACTAACATGACAACTGGTGTTCTTCTTTGTTGACAGGAAGAATGTAAATGCTGTGAGGTTGTTCTGTGTGCAGCCATTCTGGGTCTGAGAAAGCAGGACATGTACTCTCCTTTCATGTTTCTTGTTCAGAAATTGATTACCAAGGTAATTAATGATCAACAGCCTCACTTTTTCATTACTTTCTAAAGCAACAAGCTAATTCCTAAAAACAAATCTGATTTTGACCCTTATTCCTTCTTCCTTTTCATGATAACATTCAATTTGCTTTTTTCTTCCAATAGTAACATTAGTCACTCAGTCATTTCTTTTCATGGTAATCAACTCAATGCTTTCCATAGTCACAAGTAACTTTCTCTTTCCATCCTAGAGTAACCGATTCTTGAGTTCCCCGATCGGACATGAAAAGGTTGGGGTCACCTGCCGGACCATGTGGGTTTTCTCCGGGTACTCCGGTTTCCTCCCACACTAAGAACCCCCACGCGCTAACATCCGGGCCAACAAGAGTGATTAGTATAAGTTGAAATAACTTGTTTCATAATTATTGTTAAATAAATACATTTTTTTAGAGTAACATAATCAATCAGAAATTCCTTCCTGAAGTGACAGTCAAATCTTTCGTTTTTTTCCTGTAGTAACATTAGTCACTCCCTCATTCACTCCCAGAGGAACAAGTTACTCTCCTAATATAATTCCTTTGGCTCAGAACACTTTCTCTCTCCTTTCTTGCTAAAGTCACAATAAACTCATACTGTCTTTCTCAAGGTAACAAACCACTACCTCACCCCTTCTTATGGAAATAAGCCGCCCTCATTTTCCTCGTCATGGTAACAACCACTAATTGATTCTGTCCCAAGGTAAGAAGCCAAGCTACTACCCCATCCTTACTCAGGGTAACAAATTCTATAGATAGGTAATAACTGAATATGGAAACATGGCGGGGAATTCATGTCTCAAAGAACTTTTATTTATTGAATTACTTATAAAAAGAGGGAAAAATTACTGCATTTGCTTTTATACTCTAGTTTTGCACCACTATTTTATTTTTTGGCTCCATTGAAAAATGGTAATTGTGATAGCAAAAATTTAAATGAAAAGGACAGGTGCCAGTCATTACATATACCTCTTTGTATTTGACTTTGAATAGAGTTCAAACGGAAAACCACTGAGCAGACGGCAAAAAATCAAAGATGGTGTCTCGGACAGGAGCACTTTGAACAATGAAGTATTTATTGCCAGGGAGACGAAATTATTGGAGAAGATACAACAACTGGAGGTACAGTCAAACCTGTGTTAAGGGACCACCCTAGGAATGTCCAGAAAGTGGTCTCTTAATGCAGGTGGTCTCATAACACAGGTTTAATTCATAATGAAACACTGGAATAGGGAACATTAAAAAAGGCCTCTTGACACAGTTGGTCACTTAATGTAGGTCACATGATCAGCTTTAATTTTAGCAATACTTTGAGGTTCTTATATACTGCTTTATCACAACCTAGTTCGGTTCACAAATTATTATCCATGGTTATAGGGCCTTTGCAACAAGCCAGTATGTTTCTCAACTCCCTGGTGAGCATACAGCCGGTGCTGCCATTTCAGCGCTCACTGCGATATTTCAACAATTCCAGCACTGCACAACCACTTACTCATTTACAGCTGAGTAGACTGGAACAAGCGGAGTAAAGTATCTTGTTCAAAGATACAACACAGTACCACTAGACTACCGTGCCTCCGTTTTGACTGTAGATATGATTCTGATTCATAAGAAAGTTAAATTTGAATGTTTGGTTTATGTCCAAGCTTAGACAATGGTCAGGGGTACAATGAGGTAATTTCATGTTCATTTCATTTGTATACTAATAGCTGCGGTCCCCTATAAGGTTCAGAGTGTTTAAAAGCATTTGAATTCTGGTGTGTAGGTAGATGGAAGATAAATTCCTGGCATAGTATAGATGTTGTATTATTTATTATACCCCTGCAAGGCAGTTAGGGGGTCGGGGTGGAAGGGGGGATACTGGATTCATGTTTTCTGTCCATGTGTCTGTAGGTAGACACAGTATTGTCTGAACAACTACAATTTCCAGCTGAGTTTCATCAAACTTTACAGGTGTAGTCAATACAGTCTGAAGTTGTGCCTCTGTGATTAATATTTGGAACTGGCGATTTTATGGGAGTTATGCCCCTTTTTACAAAAACTGTTTTCCACGCTACTCCTCTAAAAGAACTTCACATATTTGAGTTATGCTTGGTACCTGTTACCTACATTCTGTGACTATATGTAGTATACTTGTAATAAAGTTAAAGTTATAAAGTGATAGTGTACAGAGGCAGTTATATTTTGACCCCCATCACCCACAATCTTTGTCTTTGTGCTTACTTAATTTTACATTCCGCCACTCAAATATAATAAACAAAATGGAAATTATCTCACATGTTCTTCATATGGTTATATTTGGAAAAGCCCTTCCCAATTATTATTTTTCATTTATTTTTACAGTAAAACAGATACAATGTCACACATGTAAACAATTTTTTAACAATCTCAAACTTTTTTTTCTTCTAGGAGGCTTTGTCAAAAGAAAAACAGAATGGAATTGATAAATTAGTGAAAGTCAGGAAAAAACTGAAAGAGGCTGAGCAACATCTGACTCGGAGAGAAATTTCTGTTATTGATGAAGAGGCGCGAATACAAGAAAGTTATAAAACAGAAATTGAACAATGGAAGAAAAAGTCGCAGGTAAACAAATTTCATTCAAAGGGGTTTGAATAAGGGGCATGTACGTATACGATGCAGTTTTGGAAAATAAAAATTTAGCAATTTAATAAAAGTCACAGATAACAAATTTAAATGGGCAAAACTGCAATATATACTGTATACAACTGAATAAAATATGTGCTCTAATAAGCATTAAAATGAAGAAATAATTAATAACTTGGTTATGTATGTTTGAAAGATAAAATAAATTAAATGATGAGTATGTACCTTTCAACAAAATTGCTTCACAAAACTTTCTTCACAAGCAAGGAGAAGGGTCCTGTGCCTTTAATCTCAATCCAAAACAACCTGAATACATGAAAGAAACCAATTAACACCGATCATACAAATGGGTGAACAACATTATTACAAGCCAGTCTGGCATTTTAATCATTTGAATTATTGACTCAATGTTAAAGCTTTTTTTTAATTTAAACTGACTAAGCACACTTTAGTGTTGCAATGACAAAAGAAAAATAGAACCATGACCAAATCATCTGTTAAATTTGAAATTGTCACAGGATCGTGAATTTTGTTTTCTATGGTTGTTCATACATTTGACACGCAAAGTAAACAAAACATTTTATCAACAAATAGTGTTGCTTCGAAAATTCAAGACTTGTACGACAACGTCTAGTGATGAGTGACTAAGGGAACTAACTCCCATGAACATTTTAGTCAAAAATATATACTAGTAGTCAATAGTATAATGGTTCTTTTTAGGCAAAATTAGGAGAGCTTGAACGTTCACTGGTGAGGAAAGATGACATCATTGTGAACCTTCAGACAACTGTGGACTTCAAACAATCACAGCTGACTACAGCACAGAAACAGGTAACTTTGAAAAGTTCATCTAATTAACATACTGATTAGTTTTTTGATAAATAGAGGTTTCCCAAACGATTGATGGATGATTATCATGTTAATCTAACTCAAGTTAGTTAATCTTCAAATTGTATAAAGACACGAGGTTTACTTCAGACAGTTAGATAAACTAATGATAACTAATCATCGAATGTTTTGGAACCTGTTTCTCCCATAACGTTCAAATTTTATCTGAAAAAACACGTTATCTCTTGGAAAATACATCATGTGTGTTTTCAACAGGGGAAACTATGGCCATGGAGTATGACGTCACAATGGAAACTGATGTCACAAAGCATTGTTATGTGACGTCATCAATCAAAAATTAACCAATGAAATCACGTCCAGTGTGTTACCCACTAGTGGGTAACCAAAATGTTTACTAACTCCTAGCAGGTTTATCCAATGAGTTGGGAGTGAGGAACCTGCAGTGGTTGTGGGAGAAACTCATTTATGATACTAAATGAATATTTCTAAAGATTTTCGTCATCAGTTTCAATTCGATTCCAAACCTTAAGTTGACAACAAGGCTACACACCATTTTGAATTTGCTACTCGCAACAGTTCTAACATTTCGTGCTGTTATTTGGTGAGATTTGCCTACATAAACATTATCATTAATTGCATATAGAAATAAGTATCACAGTATATCGAAAGACGTAAAAATCCCCACTTATTCTCTTTCACTTCATCTATATTTGAAAAGATAATCTGCTGTTTGAATGAAAATAATCTAAAGTGCCATTCTGATTGGTCAATACCAAATATTACTTTTGATATCGGTCACAGTGTGAAAGATATCAGTTTTATCTAGTTGATAGAATTTGATATCTCACTGGCAAAGATGTCATACAATTCCTGTTACAGTTAGAAGCCAGTGATGCAGCATCAGAAAGGAAGGTGGGGTGTCTGGTGGATGAGCTGATGCACTATATATCACAGAATCGTAACAGGTAAATTATATCTATCACATAGTGTACTGTGTAACCCAGTGACTATACCCATGTCATATTTTTTGGAGTATTAACCCATGTAATGTGGCCTATCAGCCCTGTGATTGGTTGTAAGTTTCAATTGTTTCAATTGTGACGTCACGCTAGGACAAGTAAATGACGTCACAGACTCACGCACTGGAGTCAAAATGGCGGCTTTTTACATTTCAAGGTTGCATGAAATTGTCCTTTTCCACGAATTAATGCCACAAATCTTGATTATGTGATAAAAAAAGGATCTTAATCTTGTTTTCATTTTATGTAAGATCCTATATATATTACATATCAAAGAACTGTAACCGATGAAAACAAACATCATTTGAATTCAGCATCATTTCAATAGCTAAATATTAGATAGTGCAAGTGATTTGTACATGTGATATAAATGTTGGGCAAATAATATCTAAACATTACATTAAGAGTTCATTTGGGTTCACATGATAAAACACAGACTTAAGTATGTACAATAAACAGAGAGAAAAAAGGGTGTTAATACAAACATGATATTAACAGATGTGACACAAGGCAATGATATTAACAGAAACTTTGATACTAAGCAATATCATATTAAAGGCAATCTACTTTTTCTTATTTAAATGTTGCACTGACTTATCCTTGAGATGTAATGCTCATCGAAATGCTTTCTTGTGCTCATTGAAAGGCACAATCCTGTTTTGTCAAAGAGACAGACTTTATAGCAGTTAATAATGCATTTCTTTGTTGATCACAGTTTAGGTTTGTTATAGGGATAACTGTTCATCTGAAATAAATATAAGTTATCAGATAAGGTAAATGTTCTGTTCAACAAGCATTGTCATTCCAAATCACATGGGACATTTTTATGTTTAATTGAAACAGGACAAAAAGTCTTTCAAAATTATGTGCGGAGCAGTGCCAAAATATTCAAGAGGATGAGTCAAAGGAGAAATGGCAGCTACTACAGGAACTATGTGACACCATTTTACAGGAGCTACAGGTAAACATCTAACAACGACTAGCAAACCGGAATTTCAAAACGGAAATAACATTAATTCTCAAAACTTCTTTCTAACAATAGTTAATTGTAAGCACTGGGTATACCCAATGAGTTAACTATAGTTTTTACTTCAGAAAACAGGTTTTATATTCATGTAACTCTCACTATCTTTCCAGCTACAGTAGGTGATGTTTTTGCATGTGTTGCAGGGATCTTCCCAGAAATATTTTAGCACAGGGTACACTGCTTTAAGTCACACAGAGACATACACCATCAACAGCATTGCCTCAATATGATGGCACGTCCTTTACCTTTCTTGGAAGAGAAAGTGCTGTGATCAGTTTCTGATTCATCTCCTTTTACTTTTTCAGGAAGCACAGGTGATGTTTGTGTGTATATTGATTTACTTCCCTTCACTTTTTGAGAATTGTGAGATTTTACCTTGTTTATTGAAAAATTTGTTAAAGGTTGAAAAATATCATTTAACATTGATTAAGCTTACCAGCTTTTGAACAACTGGGCCCTGTAGGAGTACTGGGCCCTGTAGGAATACTGGGGCCCTGTAGGAGTACTGGGGCCTGTAGGAGTACTGGGGCCCTGTAGGAGTACTGGGGCCCTGTAGGAGTACTGGGGCCCTGTAGGAGTACTCGGGTCCTGTAGGAGTACTGGGGCCCTGTAGGAGTACTGGGGCCCTGTAGGGCCTGTTCGTTTATGCAGAACAACCAGCTGGCTGTCTTTAAATGTAACAATTTAGGGTATAAATCCTGGCAGACCTGCAAATGTTTATGCAGGCCTTGCAAGGCTTTGTCAAGGCTCGCCTGAAAGCGGCATCAGATTACTAGGTCCAACCTTATTAGCTCACCTGCCGTCCGGCATCAATATTTTATTTGAAACAACTTCTTGTGAATAATCAAGAGGCCTAGGGTGATGATATTTGGCCAGTAACATGCTGGGATGAAGGGCTACCAAGTTTGTTCACTTGAACAATATTCAAGGTCACAGGGATCAAATATGTTAAAAACCTTTAAACAACTTTTTGTGAATAACCAAGAGGCCTAGGGTGATGATATTTGGCCAGTAACATGCTGCGATGAACGGCTACCAAATTTCTTCAAATGAATGACCTTGACCAATATTCAAAATCACAGGGATCAAATATGTTTAAAACCTTTAAACAACTCCTTTTCAATAACCAAAAGGCCTAGGATGATGGTATTTTGTCAGTAGCATGCTGGGATGAAGGGCTACCAGGTTTGTTCAAATAAATGTTCACTCATTTTCAGGGTCACAGGGGTCAAATATGTTGAAACCTTTAAACAATGTCTCCTGAATAACTGATATTTGGGCAGTAGCATGCTGAGAATAAGGGCAACAAAGTTTGTTCAAAAGAATGACCTTGACATATATTCAAGGTCACAGGGATCAAATATGTTTAAAACCTTTAAACAACTTCTACTCAATAACCAAAAGGCATATGATTGTGATATTTGGCCAGTAGCATGCTCGGATCAAGGGCTACCAAGTTTGTTCAAAGGAAAGACCTACACCCATTTTCAAGGTTACTGGGGTCAAATATGTTTAAAACCTTTACACAACTTCCTCTAAAATAACCAAAAGGCCTATGATGTTGATATTTGGACAATAGCATACTAGGATAAAGGGTTACCAAGTTTGTTCAAACAAATGACCTTTGCCCATTTTCAAAGTCACAGGGGTCAAATATGTTTAAAACCTTTAAACATCTTCTCCTGTATACCCAAGAGGCTTAGGATACTGATATTTTGCCAGTTACATGCTCAGATGAAAGGTTACCAAGTTTGTTCAAATGAATGACCTTGACTTATAATCAAGGTCACATGGGTCAAATATGTTTAAAACATTTAAACAATTTCTCAATAACAAAAAAAGTATAGGATTGTGATATTTTGCCAGTAGCATGCTGGTATAAAAGGGCCACCAAGTTTGTTCAAACAGATGACCTTCTCCCATTTCCTAGGTCACAGGGGATAACATGTTTAAAACCTTTAAAAAACTTCTCAATAACCAAAAGGCCTAGGACGATGATATTTGGCCAGTAGCATGCTTGGATGAAGGGCTACCAAGTTTGTTCAAATGAATGACCTTTACCCATTTTCAAGGTCACAGGGATCAAACATGTTTAAAACCTTTAAACAACTTTTCAATAACCAAAAGGCATAGGATGATGATATTTGGCCAGTAGCATGCTGTGATAAAGGGCAACAAAGTCGGTTCAAATGAGTGACCTTTGCTCATATTCAAGGTCACAGGGATCAAATATGTTTAAATCTTTAAATGACTTGTTCTGATTAACCAAAAGGTCCAGGGTAATGATATTTTGTCAGAAGCATGCTGGGACGGAAGGCTATAAACTCTGTTCAACTTAATGTTCTTGTTCGACTTTCAAGGTCACAGGGGTCATATGTTTAAATCTTTTAATAGGTTCTTATGAATCGAACACTGATATTTTGCCTGGAGCTGTATAATAGTCCACTTTTAAGATTACAAATGTGAGATTAATACCAGATGAGCGATTCAGGCCCATTGGGCCTTTTGTTTAATAAACGAACAACTATAGTCCAACCGGTTCAACCGTTTAAACGAAAACGACCTTACGTCTCTTTACCATTCCATGAGGAGGACTGCTGTTGTTTTTTCTGTATCATGACTCACCTCCATTTATCCTTCCAGGAAGAGTACTGCTGTTGTTTCTGTGATAATTGACTTACTTCCCTTTACCTTCCAGTAACAGCAGGAAGTATTTCTATGTATATTAATTAACTTCCCTTTACATTTTTCAGAAAGAGAATGTACTGTGTCGTGTTCATAGTCTTATTAACTTTAACTTTTCCACTAGGAGGATGTGCTCTATTTTTTGTGTATTGACATACCTCCCTTTACCCTTCAAGGAAGAGAATGTGTTCTGTAATGTGTTTATTGACTTACCTCCCTTTACCTTTTCAGAAAAAGAGGACGATGGTTCATGAATGCCTTTTCCTCCAACAAAGTAGAGATGATGTTTTTTGTGTCATGACTTATGTGTATTTTTCACAGGCAGACAACGTGTTGTTTTTTTGTAGCAACTGAAATATATATATACCAAGAAGATTGCGTATGAAATATCCATTGATTTACCTCCCCCGTAATTTTTCACAGGAAGAGAAGGTTCTATGTTCCGTGTGTAAACGCAAAAGGAAGGAATGCATCATACAGCCCTGTGGTCATTACTGCTTGTGTGGTCAGTGTGCAGAGACACTTATGTCCCGCAATCAAGACTGTCCAATCTGCCGATCTAAAATGGACATCTGTCTCAAGGTGTATGAGACTTGACTTTTTTCTGTGATAAGCAAAGTTGGTGCAATCAGATTTTGAAATAGTATCGGTAGACTCCTGAGAAAGCAGTGGACATGCAATTGGAGAATGTTTTTTGGGGATTGGGGCATTTGGAACGGTCTGGGCAAATGTTGAGAAAAGGAAAATATATGTCTCTTTTTTTTTAATTCTCTGTGTTTGGGGGTATCTTGAGGTCTACCGTAAAAATTACTTGATGTTTCAAAAAGTATGAATATTTTTTGTTTTCAATATTATGTATATCAAAATGTTCCTATTATATATTTGTAAATTATGGACTGGTGATATTGATGGAGACAAAGTGGAGGTCAATATCACTTGTTCAGGTCGATATAACCACATATTTACTGAAATAAAAGTTCTTAATTGGTGTTTTAGATGATAAATACTTTTTCAATCATAAAACAAGTTAGAACATTTGAAATTATTTGGAGGAAAAGTACTGCATTTGGCAGAAAGTATTGTGACGTTACAAATGAAATGACCTCATAAAGTGAATATTGACCTGTTGTTTCTAAAAATACTAACATCGATTTAATATCACAAATCACGGACCTCCGTGTGATTATACAACCAATGATGATGTAGGAGAATGTGCTGATCTTATAGTACTGGCTATATTAACAGAGGCAATGTAGTTTAGTGGTAGGACGGCGCGCTCGAGACCGAAAGGTTGCGGGTTCGAGTCACGTCACGGCACTGTGTTGTATCTTTGAACAAGATACTTTACTTTACTTTAGCAGATAAAATCTACACCACTATGATTTAGCATTTATATATATATATATATTATTAAAACTTGTTATGGAAACCAATCAGAGAGCAGGGTTTAGTGTGAAAAATAGCAAGCAATAGGCATCAACAATCAATGTCATTGATGCCGTGACGTTACCTTATTTTGACGTCGCGAGATCGGAGGGTCCCGGGTTCCAATCCCGGTATATGGCCCTGCATTTTGCATTTCCTCTAACACATTGTCTCTAAAACGTGAGGCGGGGGAGGTACGTTTTTTCAAGGAAACCTTGTCTTTACAAAGAAAACTATAATAAAAGATGTATACATTAGCATTAACGGTCTACCTGAGCGCACATCTTCGCTAACCTTGATGTTTGCTGACGACACTAAATTATATATAATAGGTGGCGATACCTATGAAACTAACTCTTGGTCGGTTAATGGTTGTTAATTTTCCATCCATAGTTTAGACCGTATCAACAACATACTGACAGGGAAGCGCATGTTCACTAAGTTTTGGCTGACGTTCTGAAATGTAATGTCAGCTCAGTTATTAAGAAACATGTCGTCTGAAAAGCGTTGTAAATATCTACGGCAAGTGACACCACTTGTAAACAAAAGTTGTGGGTGGCAGAGTGTCGCAGTGGAAAGCGCAAAAAAATCACTGGGAAGGGGGAATCATATTTATAAGGATCCCAGCCCCACTATAGGGACATGCAATTTTGGTACATATAGTAACATCCTCTTAAAATATAAACATTATTTATTTCACAACAACTTTGAAACAAGTTATTTCAACTTATATTAATCACTTTTGTTGGCATTTTGGGAGAAAACCTTGAACGTGGTCTGGCAAGTTACCCCATACTTTCAACGCCCCCCGCCCCGTTGTAATCTCTAAAATCGATAAGGTACCAGAACGTGGCCTATATAACTAAATCTGTCTTTAAAAGAAAACAACTCTTTCGACACTCGTTCACAGACGTTTAAACAAAACCAAGACAAAGATGGACATCCAAACATTTCGTTTATTGTTCCTTTTCATCGCGAAATCTGAAGGTTTCTTAATGAATAATATGGGAAGCTTGACACCACTCACTTCCGGTTCCGGTTCTTCAACAACAGCAACCGAAAAACTCGGTATGGCCGTTTCGTTGATTTAAGTACATAAATGTCGTGTATTTTTTTATAAATTTAACCTTCATTGAATGTCAATGAAGCTTTTTCTATAAAATAAGGACATTTCTATAAGAGAATGTTGAAATTTCTATAAAAGATGTGGATATTTCTATAAAAGATGTGGACATTCCTATGAAGACGTGGTTGTTTCTATAAAAAAAACGTGGACTTTTCTATAAAAAGAATATGTGGGTGTTTTTATAAAAGACGGAGGTATTTCTATAAAAGATGATATTGTTTCTATAAAGGACATTGGCATTTCTATATGGATAATGATATGGACGTTTTGTTTTTTAAAAGACGTAGGCATTTTTATACAATTTCATTTTGCCTATCTCCCCCATAATATCTTTTTCTGGTATATATCGTTTATACATAAAAAGAAAAACAACTGATGACGGAACTACTTTTTACACTTCAGAATGCAAAATTACAACGCAGCTTTTTTTAGCGCAATTGTTTAGTTTACGTAAAAATTAAATAAATCTTTAACCGTGCATTTACAACGTGTTTGTCTACTTCTTTTTAAATTAAATTATAAAGAATGCCCAAGATTTTGTTTTGGTATATACGGTATATACCAAAACAAAATCTTGGTCATTCCTTAAATAATACCCTGTCTTCATAAAACTGTTTTTTCTTTCTATAAAGGGCGTTGGTGTATCTCTAACGCTGATGTTTACATACACGAAGTTAATGTTATTCTTTATCTTGCAAAACGAAACAATCCTAAACCGTCACTATTTGTCAAGGATCTTACAATGGAAACCATTTCCTGGTTTCTGTTTCCGGTCTGTCCGCCGGTGGTGCAATGGCCGTCCCACTCCACGTGGCGTAGTCCGAAAGTGTGATGGGTATTGCTTCTTTTGCCGGAAGTGAGTTTTTGTTTGTTTAATATTAACTTTTAAACTAAACTAGATTACCTGACGTTCTTATAATACTCTGTGGCATGCTTTGATTCGATATAAAACAATATAGCATTGCAACGGGAATTGAGAGAAATTGTACTAAGCAGGTCTACATTAATAATTCTAAAAACCTGATATACTTATTGTAGTAACTATTATAACAAACATAACGTCTTTTGTAGTACATTTTTATCTCCAACTGTCTTTCTTTCCTTATTTTTGTCCTTTTGCGAGTATGGTGTAGACATTCAAACTAATTTTCCTTATAAGCGTTAAGTTTTTTTATACTTATCTTTAAACAATAACTTCTCAAATTGTGTCTCATTTCATATAGAAGTAGATGCAGTTATTTTACGGTGAGGTAGCGATTTTTCAAATTTGTTATATCCAGTCGACAGTGATATGAATGCAAACTATAAGCAGTTTAATGTCTATATATTTAACGTTTTGAAAATATTTTGACCTCATAAAATTAATATATCTATTTTCATTATCAATGAAATATGTGTGTGCATCGTGTGATTATTTAATGAATAAAGCAGATATCTTGAATGGCCAATGGTATCCGGGGCTGCGATGGCCATGTGGTTATTTAAGGCGTTTGACCGTCTAAGATCATTGGCCTACCACCACTTCATCGTAGGTTCGAAGCCCACGTGGGGCAGTCGCCAGGTGGTTTTCCCCTAGGTACTTCTGGTTTCCCAAACACAAAAACCTGGCTCGTCCTTTAATGACCAACTGTAGCTGTTAATAGGATGTAAAGCACAAAAACAAAAACAAAACAAATGGTATTCAATGGTATCAAGGCTGATAACAATGCTTCCCGAATTGGGTAGGGCTATACAGCGACATTGCAAGATTGGTAGATATAATTACTGCAGTGCATTTTACAAATAAAACGAACGAACCACTGACACTTACAGCCACTCGCTTCATTATTTTCAACAATTAATGTTTAGAAAGTCCAACACAATTTTTCGCTTTTTTTACGGATCTGTAAGGTTGGTTGGCAAATCCCAAATCATATTGACATTCGACGTCATATGGTGACTTCAGTCACGTCGAATAACGCATTTGTGGACTTGCAAAGCAACGCCACAGTACTGACGTTTAAGACATATCGTCTGTGTATTGCTAGGCGAATTGTTTTGGGTCTCATGTGCGCCGAAGACTTTACTACAAGCAGACAGAATTATTTTACTATGAAATCAACACAAGTCATAAATCGAAAGAGTCAGTTTGTTTTAAGTTAAAATCACAACATGGAAAACAAATTAAGGAATCAAAAATGAAGCGGAACGTAAGTAACCGCAATATAAGTCGTATAATCATAAACATATTCATGTGTACACAGTCGCATAGCATTGTTCCGGCGGAAGTTTACCAACAGTTTTGTCAACATGTATGAGTTCTCCTTCCGGTGTACAGCCAGATGTCTTAAAGAACTTTGCAAGGAACGAGATCAGCTCGGGACTAATCGATCTGACGCACTATATGGACCAAGACAATGTCTTTATATGGACAGGAACTAACGACGCTACGGTCCGGCCCGGTTTGTACTGCTGCCACTCGATCGATCGGGAACCGTCGACACTTTCCGTAAACGAGGAAATATGGAAAATGCCGACGGTTCCCAAGTGACACTCGATATAGTAATTCGGTTCCTTCCGTCATACGGAAATGTCCGAAACACTTAGGCTCACAATCGGAAATTAATTTACAGAGCGTCTCATTTCGCTAAAACTTCAGGAAAATGTATAACCGAAATGCCCAATTTGTTTCCTAATTGAGGTTTGATTGAATGAATCCCTATCGACCAAGCTCAGTGTCACATCTGACTAGCGCCGAGGGAAAACTGTGAGAAATGTTTCGAGTGCACGTCCGCTCGCTAAAAATTAATTTTAAAAAAGGAACTGTTGTAAAATATCAAAATAGAATTAAGTGTTCTGAAATAAATTCCAAAGAAATTTAATTTCCTGAACCTTTGATGAAAAAAAATATTTTTAACTCTGGTACATTGGTACATATATTTTTTTCAGTTTTTAATACAACAATGTAAAGTCATGAATTTCGGTGAAGTGAGAAACACATGAAACCTGGTTCATTTGTTTCTTATTTAACAGAATCTGCTGATAAAATAAAGTCATTCTACGGAAACGAACATAAAATTGGTGAAGTTGTCAGGAGCTGCACATACCTTTGTAAGTGAATACATAAATAAATAAAAGTAACAAAAGAAAATAAATATATAAATGGATAAATGAATGAATGAATGAATGAATAAATGAATGAATGAATGAAGTTGTTCTTTAGTATAGGGTAAAGGCTTCATTACAAATTTTATCTGCGATCTTGGTTAAGGTTACATACTACCCTAGACATTATACCAGGTACCTGCGGATTTTGTTAGAGTTATTTCCTTCAGGAATAGGGTACTTACATTTGGTGTGTGCACTAATAATTAATGTTACAAACACGCTGGTTCCTCAATGAAAACATTTCAAGAAAAAATCATTGTATTTATTTATTTATTTCCAAGAAAACTTCCTGAAAGACAATTTACATGATTAATAATGGTGAACTCGTTTGGAATGGAAATGCTTGTCGAAGTAAGATGGTAAAAATCTTCAGAGTAAATAAAAATCAAAAAAGTGATTGGAAGTAATTAAGGTCCGGTTTGTAAACTTGGTTTCAGATTGGATGACGAAATGTGAAGCCGATTTTACACACGGCATCGTTATTACACCTGAAATGTGAAGCCGAGTTACCGTTATTACTCGTGAAATGTGAAGCCGAGTTTACACACGGCACCATTATTACTCTTGAAATGTGAAGACGAGTTTACACACGGCACCGTTATTACTCGTGAAATGTGAAGCCGATTTTACATACGGCACCATTATTACTCGTGAACTATAACGGCATTTTGCTTTATATCATGAAAAGCGCACAGTTATAATTTAATGAAGATAAACAAGACCGGATCCAAAATATTGCGTGTTTTAAACAGAAACCGATATATTTATCTAGTCTACATTCTTATTCTAATCTCTTACTTCGTTTGTTAGGATGAACCCGCCATATTGTGACGACAGGTTTTTAATTGAGATTTCAATCATTTTTTACTTTATTACGAATTACAGCTAGTTGTTATGGCTTCTTCTGGGAGTAAATCGATGATGTGTTAAGCGGGAGATTGTTCTGGGAAGTCTCGCGAGAGACCGCGTGAGTCCAGTTGATGCAAGATCTTTCTCTTGTTTATGACGTCATTTGAAATTGCTAAACTGAAGCTGATGCAAGTGTGCATTTTTGCAAGACTGATCGAACTAACTGAAAACATGTTGTTATTTGTAACCACAGGTAAATGGTGTTACACTTGATATTTTAAAATATTGACTCAATAACCTATTTACATCCAATCATAATAGAAGTGATACTTTCCTAACAGGGGATAGTACTTGTTTCTAAGGTAACAACTAAATGACGATCAGAGTAAGGCAGCTGATCTGGATCGCATGATTTAAGTCAAAAGCGAACAAAGCATTCGTACGAACATTCTAAATACTTTAAACTTGACATAAAATATGTAAATAAATAGTTTTCTTTAAGATAACTTTAAGANACTCCCATTGTATATAAATTACAATAAAATATGTTTAAATCAATAACTTGCTCCCAACTTTCTCATTGAAAGGTGGGGTTCTTGCCTCTTTTAAGAACATGCAAAATGAAAATCCCCACAGGGCCTGACATGCATTTTGTCAAATTAATGCATGTTACTTCCTTTTGAAGCTCCATAATATTTCTCTTACTTTATTTTATTCCACGAAAAATGCTTTTATTGATTACAGACATGCTAGCAGTTGAAATGATACCACATTTGAATATGTCAGTAAGATAGTTTAGTTGACAGTGAACAAAAGCTTGCCAGGTTTTTATTATATTTATAGGCTATTAGACTTTGTTCCCGGATCTCAATTTAAATGAAAAAAATCACTAGTGTAAACAATACCCTAAAACTATTTTTAAAGACTTACGAAGATGCAACATATAAGAAAATCTATAAAAATAGACTTTGAATGTTCAAGTGTGATTTTTTGGTCGTTATTTTTAATGGAATGTGGTCATGGTAAGCCAAATTTTAAACAAATAACGTTCATGTTTTTTTCTGTAATTCGAATAAAAATCCGGACAAAATCCTAATCAAAAACATTCACCATCTGCATTCCATCATTCCAACTCTTCACAATGACTCCTCTGCATGATCAGTATTGAAGTACTCTCAGTACTTTGATTTAGTGTATCGCGTCCTGCAACCAGCATCAGCAACATCTTCACCAGCACTGTCTATATCTTCTGCAACTTTCTCCGCTCGAATAACCTCACTGTTGACTGTAAATGTCACGTACGTTCATGGTGTGTGTACTTTTATCACTTTACGTGATGATCCAGAATCCTTTTTATATATAACGATTCATATAGATAGTTAATCCTAAAGAGATATTCATATCCATGTATCGAAATGGTAACTTGCC